AGCTCAGAGGAACCATCCACGACTGAGGTTCGAACCATCCACGACGGAGGAGGAACCATCCACGACGGAGGAGGAACCATCCACAATGAGCTCAGAGAGACCATCTACGACTGAGAAGGAATACTCCACAATGAGCTCAGAGGAACCATCCACGACTGAGGTTCAACCATCCACAACGGAGGAGGAACCATCCACAACGAGCTCGGAGAGACCATCTACGACTGAGAAGGAATACTCCACAATGAGCTCAGAGGAACCATCCACGACGGAGGAGGAATACTCCACAATCAACACAGAGGAACCATTCACGACTGAGGAGGAATACTCCACAATCAACACAGAGGAACCATTCACGACTGAGGAGGAATACTCCACAATCAACACAGAGGAACCATCCACGACTGAGGAGGAATACTCCACAATCAACACAGAGGAACCATTCACGACTGAGGAGGAATACTCCACAATCAACACAGAGGAACCATCCACGACTGGAGAGGAATCCTCTACAATGAGCTCAGAGAGACCATCCACGACTGAGAAGGAATACTTCACAATGAGCTCAGAGGAACCATCCACGACGGAGGTTCAACCATCCACAATGAGCTCGGAGAGACCATCCACGACTGAGAAGGAATACTCCACAATCACGACTCAGGAGGAACCATCCACGACTGAGGAGGAACCATCCACGACTGAGGAGGAACCATCCACGATTGAGGAGGAACCATCCACGACTGAGGAGGAATCCTCCACCATGAACCCAGAGGAACCATCCACGACTGAGGAGGAATCCTCGACAATGAGCTCAGAGAGACCATCAACCACTGAGGAGGAATCCTCCACAGTCCGCTCAGAGGAACCATCAACCACTGAGGAGGAATATTCCACTATGAGCGCAGAGGAACCATCCACGACTGAGAAGGAATCTCCTACCACGCATGCAGAGGAACCTTCAACGACAAGAGAGGTATTTTCTACAATCGATGCTGGGCAATCTTCGACGCGGACCTCGGGAGAGTTCCCTGCGACGGGGACAGAGAAGCCTCCCATGACAGTCGAGGAAAGAGCCTCGACAAGATATACAGACGAACCTTCTACAACAACTGACTGGAAGGTCTCCACAACGGACGCAGAAGAATCCGCAGCGCCGGCCGAGGATAGACTCCCAACGAACGAACCGGGAATGCCTTCGACCACAGATGGTGGGGAATCTCCGACGACGACCGGGGGGACTTCTCCTCCAGCGACCACTGAAGAACCTCGGGTCACAAGTTCGGAAAAATATATCTCCATGACAGCGGACGGTTCTCTCCCGTCAACCAGAATCTCGGAGACATCAGATGCAGTCACCGCGAGAACCACAAGCGGCGTCCCACGGCGGACAAAGAAAGTTCCCTTATGCCGAAGACCTTGGGAGTATGTCCATCGACGCCTGCAGAAGAATCTTGAGCGTCGCTTGAAGGAGAGCCGGGAACGGAGCAAAGAATATAATCGTCAGTTGCAGGAGCGGGCAGAGGCTCGCCGACGACAGCAAGAAGAACGCAAGCAGCAAAAGCAGGAAGCTCAGCGACGACGACAGCAAGAGGAACAAGATCGGAAGAGGCAGGAGGCTGATCAGCGGCAGTCGAACCAGAGCTCTGACCGACAACCGTGCCCGATCGGGGACCGACTGCGGTGCGGAAACCGCCAAGAAGGTGCAAAAGACAAGCGTGGCTCACGTCCATGGTGGAATTTCCTACCCTCGTGGATGAGAAATCACTGACAAGTCGGATGAGCTCTCCCTCGACACCCTCAATCGGCACTCCGAGTACTTGAGATGGAGGAAGAATGGACTCGGTGGATAGTCGATATTATGATGATGAGAGATCGCGAGCGATTCGGTTTCTCTAGAATTATAACTCAAGGAATCGCTTTGCTTCCATCGAGAAATACAAATCACACGCTACAGAGCGGTTCTCTCGCTGCTGAATTTCGATGCCAAGATCTCTAACTCCGCCATATTCAGGGAGCTGAGCCGGAAGGTCTCGACAAGAATCACTTCTCAGCCCCCTCTAGCCAGTCAGGTCGAAACATGGACTCATGGATGAAAGCGATGACTCGGAGCCTTGGCTGAGGACCCCATCTACATAAGCAGTATTCAAAAAATCTGGCGGCGCATGAATCGACGGATGGTGATCGGTGAATCATGATTGGGACCCTGTAATTTGAAGTCACTCCTTTACAAACATGCCATCTTATCTGGGTCAAACCTACCGAAGATTTGAGAGACGCAGGCATTCGTCACGCAATCTCACTTTCGGAGCATGAGTCATCACTACTCAGGACGGTGGGACAGCTAGTGGAGGAGGCGACCGGTTGCAGGCGATCCAGCGAGTACCTCTTGCAGCGTTTTTCCTTAGTTGTCCAGAAAGGCAATGCTGCGGCCGTCATGGGTACCATGGCCACCTACCAGGGGCCACACCTAGAGCTACAACTGTAGAATAGCGTGGTAGCCATAGGAATGAATTAGAGTCTGGAAATTAATTCAATAAATGAGTCAAAATAAACTATGACTATGACATTTCGAGTCCTTCGAGAGCAGGTCCCTGATGAATGGATACATTGGCAGGGAAGAGATTGAAGGAGGAATTCCTGTTCGTGCCATGAGCGTACAGTTTTCTATCGTTGTTGGAACCTTGGGACCGAAGTTGGGTTGGGAGAGCGGCCTTGAAAGTGTCCCGATACGCTTCCGGGCAATATCCCGTGGGGAGCGTTGCTGTGCGAAGAGGAGGGAGGGGGCGTTCAGTGCGTTGATGCATACTTCTTGTATAACTGCGATCGGGATTTTGCTCCATGGCGCATACGGAGCAACATGCGACCAGCTAATTCAGGACCATAGCTCCGGACCTATCCGGAAGAAGTTCTTGATATCGTGAGGGACGGGCCCGAAATCGGCTGCGCGAACGTCCCACGCCGGGTTTCACTGTTCAGCATCTCATGTCGTCACATTTTTTCCTCATCCACATTTATCGTCTTCGTGTATCTTCTGCTCAATCAATCAATCTCGATTCGCAGCCTCGACGTATCCCAATCGCTTCCTAAAACGCGAGTCAGACGACAAGAGCAGGGCGACAAGACACAAGTCGGAGACGACGAGACACAAACATCGTCATTTTTACTGAAACGTTGCTGAAGGAAACAGGACAGTAGGTCAAACCTTAAATTCATCATGAGTACCAATATTCGTACCTCCTCTACCGACAATAGCGGATGTCTGTCCGTCTGACCGTGTTCCACCTATAGACTCCTGAGTCGCGAGGCGGATCAGTGTCGATTTTGGTTCGATGGTCATCCTGGATTCCCCGAAGGAAGTCGCCGTCTGTCAGGGATCGACATCCGTGATATATTCTCCGTGCCCCATACCGCACGCAGCGACGCAGCTCTGGAAACCCAAGTCAGCGCTTATGGTCTAGGCCCGCCTCAGCGTTCTCATTTCAAAGGAGCCGCAATAAGAAAATTTGTTCGCACCTCCAGTGATGGGCGTCCACAGCATCCCGAAAGCAATGCGAGCTGCGATCCCGAAAGCAGGCGCGATCGCGAGCAAACTGTGCGTTTCTACATCATTGTTTTGCTTCACCCTCTCAAGAGCAGCTGAGGAGTCCCGGTATCTACGAACGGATTCAACGAATCCGAGTGATGAAATCAAGAAATCGCCCCTCAGTTCCAATGGGTCAGAGAAGGCCGACGTGGAAAGCTCGGAGAGAACAGCCCGACTCGCGCTCGGAGTCATGCGGGAGGATCATCGTCATCATTATCGTCACACGCGCCAGATGACGGATTTTTCACTTGATTCTTGAGTCGATACAGCTTTCCGTGCTCTTGTGCACGGCGGTCTCGGAAACTCAACGCACGTTCTTCCGCACCGTATCTCCGAACTTCAGAAGAACGCCGCTCATTCATTTTCGGAGTGCTAGCCAAATTCTATCGAGTCACGGAGCGGGGGCGGGAAGCCGTTTCCCGGAATTCGTCTCAAAGGAGTTGATAGCATGAGTCGGTTGAAGTGATTGGTTCGGATAGACTATCTGCGGGAAATCCAGAACACAGCCAAGTCTCGGTCAGTTCTGATTCGCTCTTCGACTTGGAGGAACGGGAGGGAATAACACGATAAGACAGTCACAAACCGCGTTCGGAGACGTAGGGAAGATGTGGTGAGAGGATTGGCGATATCTCGTGCATTGAATTGGTCCGATACCCCGGGGATATCGGCAGCCTGCCAGACTGTCAGAATACGATCTTTAATAATAATAAGGAGAAAGAATAATAATCATAATCTTTAATAACTCTGAACGGTGTCCCGAACGCCGGGTTCACACCCGCCAGCAATCAGACGTATTCCCCTTATCGCTCGAATATTCGATTGCAGCGATTCCGATGATGATGTCGTGCTCTCTCCCGAAGCACTGAAAGCTCTCGGTGAATTCTATAAGGAAAAAGAAGAGATACAAATCGAAGAGGATTGGGTGCGTTTCTTTGCTCGCCAGATGCTCCCGCTACGATATTTCGGATATGAATCGATAAGGTCGGATGTCATCGTCACCATACGGAAGCTTATATGATTCCAGCAATTGAGCCAATTCTGGTACACGGACGAAACCGCGAAAGCTCTCGCAAATATTGCGCGGTCTCAAGGAACTCGAATCTGTTGCGTATCGTCACCGACCGCATTCCGAGAGCTCCAGTCGACGCGTTCACCTGACGAGAAGCTGACTTTGCTGGAGTTCGATCGCAGGTAGTATTCTCTCAGCCATAAGTAGATATACTACCGACATCCGATGAATGATGAATATGTACATCCACCGGGAGCCCGCTTCATGAAGTCATCGACCAACGGCCCCCCTGATCCCTATGAGCTCATTGATTGAATACCTCAGATTCGGCGACCTGTACGGTGAGAACTTCGTCTTTTACGACTACAAGTCACCCGAGGACCTTCCTAAGGAGCTTGAGGGGGCTTTCGATGTCGTGCTGGCTGACCCTCCTTTCCTCGCAGAAGAATGTTTAGAGAAAGTCGCTAAGACCATCACTTTTCTTACAAAGAAAAGCATCATACTCTGCACAGGTACATTCACCAGGCGGGGGAAATGCCGTCATAATCTCCTCACGTGTCTCCCGGCTGAGATTGAGTTCTCGCTTCTTCCCAAGGAGGTCTCTTACTCTTCCCTCTCCGCTTAAAGGAATTGTGATGAAATCTTCAGTAGAAAGGATCCTTGGACTTTCAGAGACAGCGTTTCAGCCTCAGCACGCGCGCAAATTAGGTAACCAATTCGGCTGTTTCACGAATTTTCCTTTGAATAAAACTTGACCCCTCGAATGCACGAGCCTCTGTCCGAAATTCGAGCTCCGCCTCTTTATTGAATGCTGACCTGAGTCGGTCACCGGCTGCTCAGGACATATGGCCGGTACATATGGACACGAGGTGCATACCGGGTTTCCTCTCATTCAATTGATATTCCTGATGGATGGACGCCCCTGAGACGTCTGAAAATCAGTTTGAGGCGTCCCGAGGAGAAGACTCTTCAAGACTCTTCTGCGGCACATTCTCGAAGCGTTACAGACCCGTGCCGTCTAATGAAGCCAACTCCGACACGAGGATGGATCGATTTTCACTTGAGACGAAAACAACATCCAAGGATCCTGTAGAAAATGCTGGAGCTCGTCAGAGCTATTCTCAGAAAATCCGATGAACGAATAGTCGAGCCAAGGACTCCTGTCAGCCCTCCTCCGCGGATATGTTCGAATGGGTTCGGCAGGAAACAGGCGTGCGTGCTACTGGATAGGGGGGCGCGCATTATCCAGCCCAACCTTGGGCTTGACGAATCGCTCAAAGTGTAATCGCAGAGCTTCCCATTGTGGTTCCTCAAGGAGCACGTGCGGCCGTTTCCTGCGCATTTCCTCATAGCACTTCTCGGGTCCGTAGCCGTGCCTCTCCATGAGATAACATCCGACCAGGGTAGCACTCCGTGTTCGACCGGCCTTACAATGAACGTAAACCGAAGACTTCTGTTCGCGATATCTCTGAATTAGATCAACTCCTTCACGCAATTTCCCCGCTTCAGGCGCCGCGAAAATATCCTGCGTGGGAAGCTGGAGGAATTCCACACCTCGCTTGCTCCAAGAACTGCGATTCGGGGTCAGAAACCTAGGGGACCAAAAACGAGCGTAAGCTCCATGGGACTTCCAAACCGAGTCGTTTCGCCCGCAGGCTCATAATGGTAGACGACTCACTTGAGCTCGAAATCCTCGTTCATGCTGACCACAGCCTTGATTCTCTCCTCTTCGATAAGCCTCGATGCGACCGGATGGAATGGCAGAGCTCCCAGTACTACAGTATCATCGATCCGATCGTACCTGGAAATTGGCGCTCAATGATCGAGGATATTGAGGGATCGAGTATATGTAGGTTCTTCAACATTCGTGCATACATCTTCCTCTGAGCTCCCCCTCAAAAACTCACCAATTCCGATTAGTGAAAGACTTCATGAGTATGTTGTACAGGAGAGATGGGTAGAAGACGAACTGTGCGAAAACACGGTGTTTGCGGATTTTCTCCGGGACCAACCATTGTATAAGGATCACAGCTGTTCGCATTGCCGCGCGGATGACTTCACTGAGGTGGGATGAATCGGGGTCTCAGACAGCAATCGTGAGAGCTCCGGAACCCAACTGGAGCGAGTAATGGACAGGGCTATTACTCCACGGCTGTGCCTTGTCGCCGGTAATAGAGTCCGTGCAGACCCAGCCTAAAGGTCAAGGAACTTCCTCGATGTGCCCCTAGTGAGAGTCGCGGATGTTCCGGGAAGCATTCAGGTCAATGAGGAGACCTAATCCCGCAATCTCTTCGTCTGTGCTCCAGCCTTCTGACCGAGATTGAACTTCAGTCGCTAGATCCGGTAGAAAAGAGGTCGTCTCTCTAATGATGGATACTGATTCACGGATCAGCTGACATGGAACGGTTATTGGAAACCAGATTCGGTGACAGCTCCGAATCCTCAGTGCGAGATTGATTCTCCTTGTATTGGAACGAATTCATGAGACATTGAACCAATTTCGACTTCTTGTCAAATAGAACAATAATATTTTAAGAGGGACACCGGTTCTTGTTTTCTTCACCCGTGCCCTCTCTCAGAAACCATGCCGACGCGCCGCGTAGCTGACTGAAGCAGCTGTCGCGGGTCGCGAATGACATGCGCAGAATTTTATGTTCTAAATTTCCGCTCGATCCCGCCGGAGATGTCCCTTCAGGGGATCCTTTTCAGGAGAGATGGCGGCTGATTCGAGGGCTTCGGTATTCTTCGCGCCCCTGGCGACGCGGGACTTTTTGAAATTGAAATTTTCACGTGTCGGATCGAGGCAGGTGCGCCAGAGCCCACAGAGCACTAGACCGCGAGACGATGAAGTGAACAATTTATCCATCAGTATGCTTCACGGCAGCGAAATGTCGGTGGAGATCATGACTGAGGGTCGTTCGTCAGGGCATATACTCATTCCCCGCCGCCCGCCGCTTGCTGACTGAGAGAGATTCACCGTTCATAGCAATCAATGATCAGATCAGAACTCATCCGCGAGCTGGGGTATCTCTTGTTGTGGCAATACTTAGCTCTTCGGCAATGACTCAAGTCAACATGCCTGAATGGATCGACGAAGACTGTCGAGCCTCATCCCGCAAGCGGATCCAAGCTCATTGTATTATTTGTAGTTACGTCTTCGATGTTATGTGACCAGTGGAATTCGATCAATGAGCATTCGACAGCTGAATAGGATCGAATGCGGAGGCGAGCAGAGGAGTGATTTTTCCATTCACTGGTCCAACCACCAGCTTCCACAGTCGTTATTCTTTGAGATCTCAACCGGACTGACACATGAGCAGAGAATTTGTGCACATGGAGCGAGTGCGAAATCCTTTTCATCCGCCCGTGCTAATCGCTCGGTGTCAGCTCGTCCGGGGCCCCCGATTCTGATCGCGATCTTCCCGAACCTCGGTCGTTGACGAATTGATGACGATAAAATTCGTCGAAGTTCCTCAGCGAAGAATTCGCCCGCCATTTCCGTGGTACCATAGCGTATCACAGAGACAATCGCAGTCGCCAGCGGTTCGCGCGCGTGTACCTCACTTCACTGAAGTGTCAGACGATCACGAGACGCATTCCGAAGCGAAGAAATCTCTGATTTTCGGCTCGTATGACTTTCCGAAACGGGTTACTTCTGTAGTCGGAATCATTCTTCGCGTTTCACGCGTCTCACCATCCGGGTCGTCAAATGAGGCGAATGACAGGTGTTCAACTTGTCATCAGAGATGTCGCCCTTCCGCTGCAGCTCCTCTTCGTTTCATCAGAAAAGGGTCGAGAGATCCGTCCAGAGAGCGCCAGATCAGTCTTCCAGAGAAAATAGACACGTCGAAGCTTCAACGTTCCGCTCGAGGAGCCATCTAAGAAATGAGATCAACCTCGCGTGTATGAACCGCTCTCGCGATGTCCGTGGGCTGGTTCTTTCTGCGGCCATCGACGTATTCCGTCCCATACATCTGAGCTCGGCGGTCCGAGACACGTGTGAATCCGCCGCCAGATGCTCCCACCAACGAAGTTCCTTCCGATGCTTCGAATACCGCGCGCCGCGCGATGTCAACACCCCGCCAAGAATCCGCTAAAATTTTTACCTCTCCCACCGTGAGCGATTTGTTTCCAGGACCAATGACCTGGACGTACTATCTGCACTATCCAGAAGAACCTTCCGTGACGCTCTCGCAAGCTTAGGTACCCTGTTGGCTCGGGATCTTCCACCGGGGTTAGGCGTTCGAAATCAGACCTCGAGAGAAATACACCGTCGAGAGAAAAAGGCCGAAATTCATGAGCGCGGTCTCAGAGCACAGAGGAGCAGATGTGGATGCGCGCGTGCAGCGTACCACAAGCCTTTGGTGTAGTTTTTTGAGGAAGGAGGGAACCGACCGCCATGACGCGCGATGCGACGAGCCCGATGAAACAGACTTCGACATTGGCGCCTTGGAAGCGCAAGCCTGGCCACCCTGTGGCATTGCCGATTTGTGTGTTTTGCTCGAGAAAGTTGGTAATATCGATGAAAATTGCTTCCGACGCTCATTCACCGAGTTCGTTGTAATGCATGACGGTCGGAAGAAGGCAAGACGCTTCGAAACGTGCTGAGAACAATCACGAACGTCGACTCAGTGTCTCGAAACAGCCGGAAACCAATATAAGTGATGCCGATTTTGAAGAAAGAGGAGTTCGAGCGAATCGCTCCACCGAAGGATCTCAAGCCCGACGACAAGGTTTTCTATAACCAAGTGACCAACGAAGTGTTCACCGACTACGAGTAAGTTGCCTCTCGCGTATAATCGAACTCATCGTCGTTGCTCAGCCGGCTACTTGCGAATTTCGCGTGTTTCTACGCTACGCCTAACTTGCAAGCGCAGCGAGTGTGTTCGGTGTGCGAAAAGGTCGTTGTGGCTGCCGAAGGCCTACGGGATAGTGTCTCGCAGTGTCGCCCTGAATCTCAACGTGTACGAGGCCGTAGAGAAATCGTATAACCGGCACGACATCGACTCGATTCTGCCTCGAGGGCGCCATTTCACATATGCCAACCTATGCGGCTCGAGTGAAGAACGTCGGAGGCGGTGATGGTGCGTTCGTCATGCCATCGTGCAGGGTCCCTCTACAGGGGACTCGCTCTCAGTCCCCGAAGGCATGTTCGATAGTGTTGTTGTTGTTGTTGACGTCGTCGTTGTCATCGTCGCTGGTGTTGTCTTTCTCGTGGGGCTCGCGGTCTCGATTCCAATCCGTGAGCGAAGCCTTGACATTGAGATCATCGAAGCGGAGTCGAGTCGGAGACATCGGCGACCTGTCTATGACGTGTTACAGGATGGATGATGGTGCGGCTCGCGCTCTTCGCATAGTGATTGAGCCAGTGTTGTCACGCATGTGTACGCTCTGCGCTGGGGAGGAAAATTTCAGGGCCGGAATAGCTGTCGGCGGAAGTCGGAGTCGACGACACCAGATCCGCCGAGTCGAACACTAAGCCATCTCGTTCTTGTTATTTGCAGTGATTACTTCGCCCGGGTCATCCTTTGCAATTCACTCGTGTGGACATGTTCGCTGACCGGCAAGTCCGGTCTCACGTTCCAAGATGCGCAGGAAAGCGAGGAAGCCAGCAGGGAGATGGTGCGGAGCTTCCCGCAAGCTCTGCGGAAGCCCGTTCTCTACATCGCCAGCCTCACCAGCCGGGGACGTTTCACCGACCTGCTCGATGACGTTTTCAATTTTGTGAAAGATCGTTTCTTCGTCGGGGAAGAGCTGGATTACGTGGTCAATGGTCGTCGGTGAGTTGTTGGGCAGGCGCTATCATTCAATATCCGGACACCGGTGTATTCTCGTTGGCGACGAACTCGCTGTCAAACTCACTCAGTCGTCGCGATAATCCACGGTCATGGCCATCGCCGAAAAACATGATTGTTCAGAGAACGCGCACGCGCCACATCGTGCGTCTGAGGATCGTAATCGAGTCTTGATCTTCACAGGAAACTGGGCAAGTTGGCTCGGATACACCCGATGCTCGATGTTCTGCCCGAACAGAAAGGCGATACGCCCAAGAGTAAGAAGAGGGATACCAATGACGTCCTCAGGCTCAAGTACGACATTCAGGACATGGACAGCGGAGAAACGTTCGAAGTTCAAGGGAAAGACATTTTCCGTAAACGAACCTTCACTCGGGATCGTCTCCGAGTGTATCTCAAGTTGGCCACAGTGCAGCAAAACGGCGTACTCCGGGTGACGGCTCCCGTCGCCGAGAAGTATAAATTATCGGAGACAAAGTACACAGATATCCACATCGGTAAGATGCCTGAATTCGTCGTGAGTCCGCTGAAGCGGCTCAGCAAGGCGTTGAAGAAAGACGTCAAAGAGAAGGAAAAGAAAGAGAAGAAAAAGGAGAAAAAGATTGCGAGTAAGTGATGATGATTAGTGATTAATTAGCGATACTCGTATCCATTACAAGTCTATCGAAACGTGGAATATCCACAGTCCATAGGAATTAGGACGAGCGAACTGCATGCTTTGGCGTGCGGAATCGGCAGCTTCCGCGTAAAGAGTCGCATCGAGTTCAGAGGCAGGCGAATACGTGTTCACGTTGCTTCCTTCTCGCCCTTCCAGAAGAGAGCAACAAGGAAAATAAGGCGAAACCGAACTCAAAAGACGATCCAGAGAAAAAGACTCCTCGCAAGGAAGCAAATCTCATCAGACAGCAGTTCATGGCCGCGTGGTCACGGCCGAGAGAGGACCTCACCCTCGACGGTCTCAAAGACTTGCCAGCGATTACGTCGTTCGATTGCGGTATCCCTCAAGCAGCTCTCTCCGACGCGTTCTGCGTACTGGAGTTCTTCGCCGCTTTCCAACGCGAACTCCAAGTCAAGGACTATTTCGTCGCTGGCATCACGTTCGATATCTTGGAGAGGGCCGTTAGCGAAACCGACGTTCTGGGACCGTTGGTCGAAATCTTCCAAATTCTGCTGACGAATCTCTTTAAATTGAGACAAGTTGAGAACAACATAAACTACGATGAGACCAGGCCCTCGGAGGACCGACCAGAAATAATCTATAATGCACAACGTGACGCGGCTTTCGCGATGCGGAACGTGCGACAGGTGTTCGGTTTTTCGCTGACTCAGTTGACACTGGACAGCTTCACTCTTTCGGAAGTGCTCCGCCTCCATATCGAATCGAGCGGGGCTCCGGGGAACGTGAAGAAATTCGGCAACATGGATCCAGCCGAAGACCCGGGGCTGGCATTCCGGATAGAAAATCCGAAAATTCTCCAAGTGTTGCGGGAGCACAGTCTGTTCGAGCTGGGAGCCGCGGACAAGTTGAAGCTTCTCCGCCTCATTATCGAACAGCTGTTGTGCACCGACGGTGTGCGATACATGATCGAGGACGCTTCGGAAACCTACAAGAGCTCGAAGTCAGCGATCCGCAAACTGAAGAGCATGAACAAGAATACGACCGATGAGCGACCCTTGATATCCCCTCGCGAATACGAACGGAAACTCGAGGATCTCGAGCAAAAACTCCGCAGTTCCCGGGAGAAACTCATGATGATCCCTCTCGGCGAAGACCGAGCTTATCGGAGATACTACCTCGCGTATTCCATCCCGGCCGTGATCGTTGAAGACGACGCCGTTCACCTCGACGCGACGTGTATCGAAGGTGGCACGCCGAAAGAGCAGATAATTTCGCCTCCACTCGCCTTCATGAAACAATTCCTGCAGAATATCGCCAACGAAAACTCCTCGCTCTCGATGATGACCTCATTGAAGGAAGCTAAGGAGGGAGAGATTCGCGTAAAGGCCGAGCACGGTCCCTTCACCTGCACCGGTGATCACGGCTCGTGTTTAGTGCACAACAGATCGCTCGCCAGAGATAATTGGAGGTTGATTTCATCGAGGGAACAACTCGACAACCTCATCGCCGCATTGGATTGTCGCGGAATTCGCGAGAAACACCTCAAACAAGCCTTGCAGAGCGAGATCGAGAATCTCTATATGGCCATTGACAGGTGTCCGTTGCACATCTTGAATAGGAACTTTGAAAATACTCGGAAAGTGAAGATGCCCTCACATTACATAAAAAACAGCAACCTCTACGGGGTTGAGCCATGTTTCGCGCTGGAGTTGAGTTTCCGAGAGCTCCTCCTCGAACTTGAAGAGCGTCTCTACAGTGGAGGTTTGGGACATCTAAAAGCTGTCGATAGGGAAGAATGGAGGAACGACATGGTCGACATCCTCTACATCGTTGGTCAGATGAGTAAGCCCCTCGAAATCAATCAGCTAAATCAAGAGTCCGACTTGAAGAAGGTTCTCAAGTATATCTGCGAAGCTCTGGCGATGGTCGGCCGAGCCGTGGAAAAGAAAGTTCTCATGGCTCCCTTGGGTGCGGCCGAACCACCGACCAAGGTGAAGAAGGCTAAAGAAGGTGTCGCCGAGCCCGTGCCTCTGATCAAGGATAATTTCGACGCATGGCTGCGAGAGCTGTGTCCTCCATGGATGAAAGAAAATGGAAACGCTACTGAAAAAACCGTAAGAGAGGATTGCTGGTGATCAATAACCAGTCCAGAGACGTACTCGGGACAATCGAAATATCTCGATCATGGATATACATTATACATGATTGTATGTATCGTTATACAGTAAAAGCTCGTTACTACGAACACGAAGGGACCGACGAAACTGGTTCGTTGTACCAAAATTCCGCTGTAACGAAGGCCACTCAACACTATCCCTATGGCGAGCTGGCCAAAGCAGGAGAAATTCCTTGTTCGTTGTACCGAGAAATTCGTTGTAATGGGGGTCGTTATAACGAGCTTTTACTGTATTGGTATATATGAAACTCGGACCATTGACGATTCGTACGTCGACTCGTGGTTTTCTGACTCACTGTTTCCTTCAGAACGGTAACGGCAATCTCGATCTGCCGAAGCAAAACGGCTCTGCGGGGAGCGCTGCGTCAGAAGACGACGCTTCTTCGACGACTTCATCGATAGACAGGAGCGCAGCACAGAGCCTGCTCAACCTACCCCGTGTGTTCCTGCTGATGTACAGCTTAGAACGAAGCGTCATGTGGATGAGATCGGTCTCAAACGCCGCTTGTCGGGTCTGCAGGAAAAAGAGCAATCCAGAGCAGATGCTGCTCTGCGATGGATGTGATAGAGGGTACCATATTTACTGTCTGAAGCCTCCACTGTCGGAGATACCTCAGGGAGATTGGTTCTGCTCACAGTGCAGTCCAACTCAGTTGAGTCCCCGCAAACGAACAAAAGCTCCCGTCGAAGTTTCTTCTGAGGTGAGATTATCAACAGCGCCCATTAGCGAAATCACAGCTGTTGGTGCCAGCTGAATATCGCTTGCGGACATGCTGAGTGCGTCTAACTTCAAAACTTCAATGATTAAATCAATTCGAAATAATTCCAGGACGAAGATGAGGAAAACGACGAAAACGACGAAGAAGAGGAGGAGGACGATAACGAGAAGGTCGACGAAGATGGAGACGAAGACGAAGAGGAGGAAGACCTCAATCAAGAGGTGTGCAACATCTGTGAATCGCCCGGAGAATTAATCCTCTGTGATTTCTGCCCGAAATCCTTCCATCTCGACTGCATCGATCTCAAGAGACTGCCCCGAGGAACGTGGAAATGTCCCCCTTGCGTGTTGGGCAAAAAGAAAAACAAAAGGGGCAGTCCACCGTTGACGAAGGTCAAGGTGCGAAGTCGGAATAACATTCGCAAATACGACCTAGCTACTGTGACCGATGTGGATGCCTTCGATTACATGGTCTGCTGTGACATTGTCAAGCTACTCGTCAAGTCGGCGCATTCCTGGCCCTTCCTCGACCGGGTGACACGCAAAGATGCACCCAACTACTATAACGTCATCAAGAAACCGATGGATTTCGGCACTCTCCAAGGCAAGCTCAACGATATCAAATATCGAGACAACGTAGCTTTCGTGAGCGACGTTTTCCAAATCATCGCCAACTGCCTGGTCTACAACTATCCGCACAGCGATGAAGTGACGGCTGCGAAAGCCTTATCTGTGATGTTCTGCGAAATGCTAACCCAGGTCGGTCTCGAGAGCCTCATCTATCTCAAAGACTCTGTCCTGGAAGAAACCGAAGAGTCCTCTGGATGGTCGAAGGGGGAGCCGCAAAAAGATAGCGTCGACGACGATGACGAGGATGAAGAAGAAGACAACGCTAGTGTTGCTGACGAAGACGAAGATGACGACGATGATGGTGGTGACGATGAAGAGGAGAACGCGAGCGTCGTCGACGAGGAAGAAGATGAGGGCGAAGACGACAATCCCGAAGAGCGATCAGACGAGAAGACTGCCGACGATCCTCCCGAGCAATCGGGTTCCGCAGGTGTTGGTGCTGGTGGGGGCGAAGGAGACGCACGCGACGCGGTCGAGTCCCGAGGGAATGACGCAAGCGGCGGAGACGACGGAGATGCGGGCGATGGTCGTCGCAGCAAGAGGCCGAGGAAAGACGATAAAGCCGAGGACGATGACAAAGACAAGGAGGAGGAGGAGGAGGACGAAGAGGAGGAGGACGACGACGACGACGATAGCGCCCAGGACGAGGACGAGGAAATAGAAGAAGACGAAGAGGATGAAGATGACGACGATGACGAAGACTATGGTAAACCCAAAACCCGAAGGGGGAGCAAGTCCAAGCGGAAAGCCTCTCCGCCTCAGAAGAAAACGAGCAATCGGAAGCGAAAGAGAACCTCTCGATTCGGGGACAGTCGTGATGAAGATGATGACGACGAAGACGATGATGAAGACGAGGACTACGCGCCGAAACGGAGGTCGTCGTCCCGGCGAGCAACCTGAGTTCCCCCCTGGACGATGGAGGAGACGAGTCGGAAAATTGTCTGCCGAAGACGGCGTGTAGAATCGTTCAAGTCGCGAGGGAATCACCATCATGTACACAGTGGAGTTTAGGAATATAACTCAGACTCGATATTACATTAGATATCTCCTGCTCTATATATTTATCTGGATCAGGCAGGCTGGATCACGCATCCGAGGGAATTACTCGTCCAGGCCATCGAGCCCCCAGCCCGTCGGAGGCTTCGGAACTGCTTTCGGAAGAAGACAAGACTTCTGAGAAATGTAAATACGAATCACGCTCCTGATCGATGTAGCCTCGGGGCCATAAGTGTACATTTTCTGAAGAAGCAGTAGGGGAATCGAGAGGTGCAGGAAGGAAATTTCCAAAATTCGGGGTTAAGCGAATTGGGGTGAGAAAACTCAGCATGCAGTGTCCACGCACGTGAGTCTAGTGGGAGAGAATAAGCATTGGTATGTGGTGAGGAAATTCCTTGTAATTTACGGCAGACCGCTAGAACCTCCAGGTCGAATATTCCTCGTCGTATCGGGTGAAGAGTTGGGACGCTTTCACTATCAAGTCACCATGGAAGCCAGGAGAAAATGACGCATTAGAGAACAATGAAAGCAACTCGATCTGGTTGCAGATCGAGCTTAGGGCGGTTGTATACGTTCGCTGCAAGAGCTCGAGCTGCATCGTATTGAGCTGGAGTCCGCTTCTAGCATTCCAGAACGTTTGTAAGTAAGTGATAATATAATTCTTGTTCCAAATGCCTGATTTGTATTGTTGGCCCGCATACGACTAGAGAACTTGTCAATCTGTTTTGGTGTCACATATTCACTTCTTATGTTCAACCCTCCGATAAGATTTGACTCGGTTCGATGATTCAAATAATAGAGCCGAAACGCTGAATCCACAAAGATACTCACTCATAAAACGAGCAGTTTTTTTCCTGGAACGATTGCCTTACCTTCCATCTTGTCGGAGAGGGCTGATAATGATCGAGCGTTGCTCCGAACCCTCAATCGGGGACTCCACCAGACGCTTTGCGTTCCGATATGAGAAAAATTCATCCACTCCCTCTCTCGGTGCTCGGTTTGCGCTCCTCGTCGGGAACGGGCATTCAGGAAACTTGCATGGAAAATCCGAAGACTGAAGTAGTGCAGGTGTTTCTATCGACAAGTAATAAAGAGCGAACGAGCTGAGCCGGCAGATTCATTCCTCGGTACCCACAAGATGATACTCTCTTCGTCTTTCGCATTTCCAGCAGAAATCGGTCAGTGGAGCTATCACGTACATAGAAACCGTCTTTATTAAAATCGGCTTGGTATCACGAAGTAGGACCGGATAGCCTCGATATTCATCCTTGAATGTAAATCACAGAACCGAGGGAACTCGCTCCGTAAATCTTGGCTCCCGAAGAGATCCGTCGGCTTCATCTCTTATTTCCCTCTCCTCGGCTTCTTTGCTGTTGGACCCACAGCCTCGGAGCCACAGAGAGCTTTTAGGGTTTTCAGGTGCCCCGTGATCTCCTTGGGGTAATTCGGCTTCGGTACGGTGAAGTCAGGAGGAGCCTTATCCAGGGCGAGCGCTTCCAGGACTTTCCACTGACGTTCAGACTTCTTGTTCTTGACGGGAACAAACTTCTTGGAAACGTGGTTCAAGCAGGCCTCGATGGTTTCCATGGCCGTGACGTCTGGCTTCGGTTTTTCCTCCGAGATAGGCGGCCGAACCTCCACGTAGATGCGGTCTCGGAACGGTAGGTAGTGAATGTAGAAGCCACTGGGTAATCGCATGCTCCCGTATTGGTCGAAATGGGCGGGATGAGCGCTCAGGAGAATTTGCTTGGGAGAATTCGTTTCTCGGAGGTAGAGAAGCGCGAGACACGCCACATCGAGCTTGCGGCAACAATGCCAAAGACTTGTCCACCACTCTTCAGCCTCGCTGTCGCTACCTTTCACAAGGGTCTGAGAATAGAGAGTGCGAGAAGAGAACAAGAATCGGTAAATCACCCCCAGACAAAATTAGGCGGGCCGAGCCCCTGGGCAGAATTGTGTCGGATATATGTCTGTGCTATTGTCGGGATGCGATTCCGAACACTGACCATGTACTGCGGACTCTGACCACGGAACTCCGTGTTCACCGCATTTTGTGGTATGAAGCCGAGGATATCCACGGTTCGCGGATTATCATGCTCTATCACTCCCTTCAGCTCATCTAACGTCCAATGCTTCAAATCATTGTCGAGGAATTGGAGGACCCTCAGCTTCTTGTACAAACCCTCGGTGACCTTGGGTTCGTAGGGATCCTCGCCGGGCGCATCGAGATCCTTTTCTCCATCGGCATCGTTTGCTGAGGGGTCGGAACGAGAAATTAGTTATTCGATACCCCTCACCCTCGAGTTCGATTCGGATCAGGAGAGACAAGACATTCTAGGGAGCGACGGCTCACTCACAGCTCGCCCCGTCGAGTCGGCCCTCGAAAGTATCCGGCGACGGATGCAGGATCTTCCCGTCGCGGACTTTGGCTTCGGTCAGGAAGTGCCCATCGTCGACATCAACTTTGAATGATTTGCTCGGATCGAAGTCTCTCGATCGTGACAGAGCGTAGAGATTCACGTGCATGACCAATTTGTCACGTATATCTCCGGGCGCACAAGGCATACGTAATTTGAGCTTACTAGAATCAAATGTAGGAAGTGTGCAGGTCGATGAGAATCGGATGAAAATCAAGAGTATTCTCTCTATTGAGCATTTCGCCGTCCACGGAGATCGAGAGCTATGGCTTTCGTGATTCGAGGATCCTCACCTTCCGCTCGGAACTGTGATCGCCGTCGGTCGGGTAAGAGCTTTGATGTTCTGAGCCAAGTCAGAAAGCGATTCCAGAACTAAGCGCTCGCCCGAGCCACTTTCGGATACCACATGCTGCCAGAACTTGGTCATGTCGAAGCTGTCCTCGTCACCATCATCCTCATCGTCATCCGAACGAGGTACCGCCAAGAGCTTGATTGACACGTCGTGATTCCGAGTCAGGTCGGCGGCTTTGCTCCGGACAAGCTGGCGAAGATTCGGAGGGATATTTTAGGTGCATATCGCGGCTCGAGTCTCGAATCTCGAATCTCTTTCTGACTCACAGACTGACAGACTCGATGAATAATTGTGCAAATTAGGTAAATGTGTATTCGATTTCGCCCTCCTGTGTGAGCATGGTTCAGAAGCTCCCGACCAACCTGCTCCTCGGAGACTCCTCGTTGCTTCTTCGTCTTGTCGCAAGGATCATCGTTCACCGTGCAAATGAATATCTGCGCATCGCCTTCGAGACCGCTGAGAAACGTAAAAGCTATGTCGAAAGCTCTCGCCAAGTCGATGTGTTTCCCTTCCAATTTTCTTGACTTCCGTAGCGTTTTCCGGAGATCATCGATTGTCTGAGAATTCAGAAGGAGCTTCAGTGGTCTGAAGGTTCCCGAGACTTAAGGATAATACTTGGGTATTGTGTTTCCTGAGAGGCTCTACTTCGAGGGTTTTAGCTGACGGGAGCTGCAGATCCAGGAGGACTACGGTCCTATCGTGAAGGAGACCGAGGAGGGCAACCCGATCTCTTCCGCCGCCGCCGAGCGAGGAGTGTTTGATCATATCAATGATTGCCGCCCTTGATAAGAATCTCAAGTCTTTAAATTGTCTTATGCGTACTCCGAGTGGCCCTGAGCAAGAACGGCCAACATCGCCTTGTGGACTGTCAGGTTTCGGACCTCCGAAATCGAAACTCCTTCCGCATTTACCTTATGGCGAGCAAGCAAGCGTATGCGAGGGGAACCTTGCCGTGATCTTTCTCCTCCAAGAAGCTCTCGCTCATCATTTCACTCGTCATGTCCAGCATGAATACGATGTTAGTTTTGTGGAAGGCTCCATATTTCTCGAACTTTGCCTCTTTCGACTTCTGATCATCCTCAACGACGCCACCGAGATTATGGAAATTGAGTGCTTGCAAACTCATGATTACCTGTCGACTGGAGATGATCTCTGTCAGATTGGAATCTCACTCTCGACCATCGATCCACCACGGGACGGCCATTCCGGAGAGGATCGTCCCGAGAAACACTGGGATCGAACACAGAAATGTGGGAGGAGGGATCCGCGGAAATAAAATCTATCTCTAACAATTCATTGATTACCTATTCTCATAATATTGAAAGTATTTGCGAAGGTGATGCGGGAGGCTTGCTGCTCGCCTTAAAAACGGAAACACTTGCGCTCATGGGACAATAAATATTTATTAAATTATACACGCGGGACCTAGCGCAGCGCAACCGGTCTCAATATCCCTGGTTGTGGCCTCGACCCCCTCGATAGGATCCCCGGTAGCCTCCCCGTTGGCCGTCATGACGATGCTCCTGCCAACCAGCATCGGCAACTCGACCCGTATTGTATTCCCCGTGCTGCTGCTGTCTGCTGTCTCGCCGATTGCGCCCATCATCGTAATAGCCACCACCGCGGTCTTCTCGATAATATCCACCGTTCCCTTGATATTGACTGTCGCGTCGATAGTAATCGTCGCCACCACCCTGGTAATAACCGTCTCGGCTGCCTGCTTGATGGTGTCCAGAGTCTCTCCCTCGGTTGTGAGCTTGACCGTAGTTCGACTCTAGACCCCGACGGCCTCCTTGACCCCCTCGACCTGCTGCGCCGCCTTGGCCTCCTCGACCCGCGCCACCTCGTCCCCGAGGTCCTTGATTGCCTGACGAGGGAGCCTGACGCTTCGACCAGGATGGCATTTCAGGTGGAGGAGGGGCCATCTCAGCCGCTCGTCCGCCACGATCAGGAACCGATCCCATCATCACTTTGGCTATCGACGTCTGAGTTTTTTCCCGAACGCCGAGACACGATGTTTTATCCACGATGAGTACATCTTGTCTAGCAGCGAGGACATCCCCTAATTGCACCGACGGTTCGACAAGTAGACTCTGTCGGCAGGGCATGAAGACCTGAGTGATCTGATCTTGCTTATCCTTCATTCGTGAAGACCAGCCGAAGGATTGTATGGTGACATCGAGACGCTTCAGGAGAGCCATCCGTCGAATTGTGAAGTCCTGAAGAAGCTTCTTATAGACGCGATCGAATCTTGACCATTGAGCAGGAGTCAATTTCTCGGTGAACAATTGTTCGTGGGGTTCAGGCTGGAGAGTCTTGATCCGTTCGCGTAAGCCCTCGAAGAATGAATCCAAGTCGATTTTCCGGCGCGGAATCGGCAAGCCGACGCTCTTCAGCAGGAGAAGCGCGTTCCGACTCTGTGGCGAACCACTTTGTTCGCGCCGCATGCGTTTGACGTCCGCTGTTTTCTTTATCATCCTCGCAGCCTGGACTTCGGAAGCGAGGAATGCCAGGAGTGTGAGCTTCGATTCCTTCGATTCCAGTCTCTGCTTGACGTCTCCGCTCACGAGGCTCCCGTAAGGACAGCGCAAGGCGGTCAGGAGAGAGGAGACTTCGAGATTGAACGACTCTTCGTCCCCGGCATCTTCCAATGAAGTCACTCTGTCCACGGACCCTTGCGTAGCATAACTCAGCTCGTTCGAGAGCCAAGCAACTACCACAGAGAATTTCTTCAGATCCGTGGTCACATCTTCGATCCAGTTTTCGGCCTGCTTGGGATATCCGAGACAAGACAGGGATTCGCGGACGTCGATCCCGCCTTGTCCATGCATGGTGGGTCTCGTCAAGGGCTCGAGTCCTCACGGGTCGAATGCGGGGTTCGGCGAACTTTCACGATACTGCAGAGCGGGACGCCGGTTCGGGGATTCTTCCCCGAGGACTAAATGCAGAACATGCTTTTGTGTTTACATGTGCTTTCTCAATCCCGGGTGACTTCAGTTGAGATTACCGGGAGAAAGCCGCAAATATCCTCCGAGACGCGAACATTCGCGAAGGGAATCTGGTGGGGTCGAAAACTCACCAGGTATCAAATCCATGCGCTGGAAGATTTCCGCAAACGTGAATCGACTGCCGCCCAATCGAGCCGAAGTCAGCTGGCAAGTACCATCAGACCGCCGCGGCCAGAGACACCAGGTTCAGCGCGCTTATACAGGAACCGACATGCCTGCCCGATTTTCGGGAAGGAGAGATCGCGGAACCCCCGGACAGACCCACGTCTTCGAAATAGGAAGTCGCTGCTCTCTCGGCCGATGAATAACCGATGGGAATGGACGTATACATGTTGTAATAACTTTTTCCGGACCCCGCGATTTTTTCCAATGGACCGCAGTTTTTGGCGCGGAGATTCGAAAGTGCGTGGAGCGGAGCGGCTTCGAATATCCTGAGAAATTGTGTAGCAGGGTTCGCTTGGCTTTCTCTATTGCTTTATGCACCTGTCTTGGGACTCCCTCAGGGGAATACCTCAAGTACGGAATATCGACCTTCGAACCTTCATTTATCGCAATCGAGGCTCGACCGCATGCGGTGCGTCCGCCATGGGTCAGGGCTTGGCTGATCCTCGAGCCGAGAGCATCTCTCAGGAATAGCGGCTAAGAGATGTTTGCGGCATCGAGGATTGCATCATCTTGATTTCAGATTTTCAATTCTGCCTTCCCAGGAGAAGATCCCGGGGCACAAGCGATACCAGAGGGGGAACCGTCGTTGTCGTCAAGGGCTCACAAGAGGCCGACGACGTCGTTTCCCTGAGTAAATTGGAGACACAGCTGCTCTGTATGTCCGTAGATGACCAAACAGTCTTCAGCCTACTTTGTGTCCGATTCCGGCTTCCGTGGAAGGCTCGACTGCGTTCGAAACACAGGAGAGCGGTCTCGAGAAATCCTCATCCTCATGAGTCATAAGTCATGAGGATTCCCCAGGAGCCCAATTCGGCGCGGAATTTCGAAAAACGCGCAGCTAGCCAACAGCTGACTGACCGGCAAAACACGTTGTTGTTGGTTGTTGCAGCAGCTCTGAAGCATTTGTTGACTGAGAAAGCTCATCCGGTGAGAAAAACTTCGACTCTGCATCCGCTCAGCAGACGTAGTGCCATGGAATCCACCGAGGAAGTGCCCTCAACGAAGGGTGTCGCACCTATAAAACAAGAGTATTCTGACTTACGTTTTCCGTGTTATCATGTTCCCGACTCAAAACTATCCCTGAAATATTCCTCGTTCGAGTTCCGTTCCATTGAGGGGCACCAGGGGAACCTCGGTAGACGGTAGATTCCGGAGCGAGATGCGCGGAATAGCCAGGGGAGAGAGACGGAGTTTATTCACGGAATCCTATTCCTTCAGATACGTAGTTCCGGAAAAACAGCGTGAATTGGATCTCAACTTCGTATCCGTCGCAGTCAAGGATAAGCTCGCCGACGACGATGGCAACAGACCGCGGAAAAAGATCAAGGGTGAGTCCAGATACCTCCTCTCGTCACAACTTCTCTCGGAATAGTGTCTGACTCGGAATCCTTCCCCAGGTCAGAATAAGTCTCGACCTCATCACCAGAGCGCCGAAAACGCTTCGAAACTCTGTTTCAAATTCATTGCTGGCTCGTGTCCGCACGAAAACTGCAAGTACAGCCACGATACGCAGAAATATCTGGAAACGAAGGAGGCGGACATCGGGGATCGCTGTTATTTGTTCGAAAAATACGGAAGATGTCGATACGCGATGACGTGCAGATTCAGCGAGAGTCATTTGAAAGATGGTGTCAATCAGACGAACGATGAAACCTACAAAGGTTTGCCGATTTCTTCTTCTGGGTCTTAATTGGATTCTGCGGGCTCGGGCCCGCCTCATTCATCGGTGCGAAAAACGTGTTCTCGATACGTCTCCAGGGATCGAGTCAGAGGACGAGAAAAACACTCTATCGAGGGAGCTACAGATAAAGCTTCGCAAACGGGACTGTGCTTTCGAGAAGACGAAAGACCCCCTCAAGAAGATTGCGTCGAAAGACTTTCTGAGATACAAGGACGATACCGCTGAGGACAGTGAGAGGATCAAACTGCGCTTGGAGGAGAGAAAGGCCGTGGATTTCAGGTTTGGGTCGCCAGAAAGTCTCCGGTTTTCTATGATTCACAAGCTCATTCTCTGATGATGCACTTAGATGCTCTCGGTAGAGCACGGTGGCCTTCCTTCTCGATTTCTTATCTGATTTTTATAGACTGTGTCCTGAGAGTCCCGCTCGGAATCCGCTTTATGACTCCCTTGGTGACATCTGCCTAGGTTTAATCTCTCGTCTTTGCTCGATTCAGGGGAAAATTGTACTTGGCACCTTTGACTACAGTCGGTAATCTACCGTTTCGGAGAATCTGCAAGGAAATGGGAGCAGATATCACCTGCGGTGAAATGGCGATGGCGACTAATCTCTTGCAAGGACAAACGTCAGAATGGGCTCTACTGAGGAGGCACTCCTCGGAGGATATTTTTGGAATTCAAGTACGGTTCGATATTCGGAAAGAATTAGCCTCATAGTCTAAGGATGCGAATCCGATGCATCCTTATGCATCTCCAGTACTAGGAAGCCTTAGAATTCTTCCACAGAATAGAAACCGAGTTCTCTTCCTCCAGAACTCCGCTGGATGCAAACTCGGATTATTGAAATAGATCGCGTTTTTAAACGTATTTCATTCCGACAGCTCTGCGGTGGCTATGCAGACGTTCTTTCTCGCTGCGCTCAACTTCTAGAAGAACAATGCTCCGTGGATTTCATTGATCTGAACATGGGTTGCCCCATAGATTTCATCTATAAAAAAGTAAAGTAGCACCTCAGCCTGGCGGGGCATTCCGGCTCGAGGATTAAATTCCCGGCTAGAGTCTGTGTAATGTTTCCGCGACCTTGATGTCGAAGATCTCCATCTCTTCCAAGGGTTCCGGCTCCGGTCTGATGACCCGTTCAACCAGGGTCAATGAGATCGTCTATGCGATGACCGAGACGTCCACCATTCCGCTCACCATGAAAATGCGCGCTGGCGTACAGGAAAACAAAAATATTGCTCACAGGATAATACAAGACCTGAAGCCTTGGATGAACAGGATTTCCCTATTCACGGTAAGACAATCCATGTTTTCTGGAATTTTGAAACTTATCATAAACCCTCAATCTTCGCAAGTCGGATAATTTTCTTGTTGGTAGGTTCATGGACGATCTCGGGAACAGCGGTACACAAAATTGGCGAATTGGGATTACATAGGCGAATGCGTAAAGCAATCCCACCCCGAGATTGCAATATTCGGTAGCGGGGACGTTCTCAGTTTCGAAGATTACGAACGATCGGTCAACGATTACGGTGTCGACGGCGTCCTTTTAGCCAGGTTTGTTCTGGATATTCGCGTCTCCGTGATGAATCGGACTTTGAGCGTTCCATCGTCAACCCAAGTCTTCTATTTACAGAGGAGCCTTGATCAAACCCTGGCTTTTCACGGAAATCAAAGAGCGGCGGCATTGGGATATCTCGTCGAACGAGCGACTGGACATTCTGAAAAAGTTCTCCAACTACGGTTTGGATCATTGGGGCAGCGACACTGAGGGAGTCGAGCGCACTAGGAGATTCCTATTGGAATGGCTGTCGTTTCTGTACAGGTATTCACGATGAGTATTTCGAGCTACGTTCCGTTATTCGCGGACGGAAAGCCGAGCGGGCAACAATCGGGATAGATTCCTCAGAGAGCGGCCGTTGACGCAGGTTTATAAAGCCTCTTCCGGTGAGGCAAAGAATGCCACATTTCTGATGAATTCTTCACCGATCGGAGGATTCCGGATCCGCAGTGATGAGCGGCGCATCCTTTTCCCATCCTGACTTCCGAGCGGAAGCCCGAGCCGATGGCGTATTTGGCAGCTCACAGTTGACGCACGTCTCTCTGAATGACATCACCGAGTTCATGTTCGATGAACGGTCCAAGGCGGCGTGAGCGCGGACAGGAAAGAAATAATCGATAACCCATGGACGATAACAGCAGTCATCGATTGTGATCGTTCATTTTGCCTCTTTCGATCTTTCAGATACATTCCCGTTGGATTGCTGGAAAGGCTGCCCCAACGAATCAACGATAGACCGCCGCTGTATCGCGGTCGGGACGACTTGGAAACACTGATGGCTTCGCCTTCTTGCCGGGACTGGATCAGGATATCCGAAATGCTTCTAGGGCCAGTCCGTGACGACTTCGATTTCCTTCCAAAGCATAAAGCAAACGCGTACAATTGATATGTCTCTGTCCTCCTTCGAGCCATGAACTCCGGCTCCCCGTGGTCAGAGTGGATGAGAGCCTGAACTTCTGAGCCATGAAATCGGAAAGCCTAGAAGATGCCGTAATTCGATATCCTTAGATCGACTTGCCCGCCTGATACTTCATTTTTTTTGACGTGACGGAATAGTGACTCCCGATTTCCATTTTTTCGACGTCAGAAGCAACTTGGCGGCTCAGGGAGTATTAGGTGGAGGCACTGATAAAATTCGCCGATGCTTCGCCATTTCCTCACCCCGGATCGGCATTGTCTTCTGCGAAGCAGCTCCATGAGTACAGATGACTACAGAAGCAGAGGGAACCGAATGCCGACAGGACAGCGAGCAACGCACCCCGTCAGAGAGGACCTGAGTGGTTTAGAATCTCCCTGAGTGTTCATCGGACGCCTCCCTCGACTCTCCGCAATCTCTCACACCCGGCCTTCTTTGATTCTCAGTCACCATCCCTCGAGCTGGGGATTATCCCGATTTTCAAGGAGCTAGGACGCTCGAATTATGCACATATGGCCACAGTTCCAGTCCGCGGAGGCGACCCGCGTTTCCTAACGCGAACTGCTCGCGCGGCTCCCGGGGATGCTCATAGGTTCTTCCCCGCAGCGTCGTCTCGGCGGGAAGGCCATTGGCTCAGGCAAATACATAGAAGCGATCAGACTCGATGCTCGGTAGAATTCTCGATCTGGTCATGTCGATGTCGTTAGTACGACACGATTTGAACGTTCAGCTGCTGCCTCTCCCGGGATATACTGCTCTACAGAATCGTCAGACCGCGATCTACCGCAATCGACACAGGCTTGCCGGGGCTCTCCCAAACTCTCCGGGCGAGCGATCGGGTTTCCTCCGCGATGAATAATCCCCTTAGCAAACCGTCATCTCAAGTATCCGATAGCTCTGCTGTCGGAGTTTCGCTACACTGGGAAAGCACTTGAAGGCAACTTGCTCGAGATTGCTTATCTCATGTATCAGTTCTTTAGTTGAGGGGAGCTTGACTCACTCAGTAGAATTCTATGGAATGAACTCGGAAGTGTGCACTAGCGGATATGATACATCAGGAAAAGGAGAGCCGAAGCTGCCGCCATAAGAAAGTAGGGATCCGTATTATGAATCCCAGAGATGTATCATTCTCAGAGGTATTCATCCTAGGTCACACGCTGCTCACTCTTATTGCGAGAAAAACTCAGCACCCGACGGCGAAAGTTGATCTCCATAGTATAATAAATAATTCGAAATTCTATGGCTCATATCCATAGATCCTTCGTTTGTGAGCTAGTCGTGGGACACTTCACGGCACCCTATCCCTTCTGAGAGATACAGTCGTTCGAAGACATAACTGAAGCAGTGAACCCCGCGGTTCGGGATCGTCTTTTTTGGGCGAAATCGTTTCCAGTAAGGTATATGAGCGCCTCAGCTTGTTCCCACAATCAGGAGAGTTGGAACCTTGTTGTCGGCTCTGAGTGAACGTCGATCATCGATCCCTCACTGATATTCATGGAATATGCCGTCGTTGATAGGCTGACCTCTTACGATTACCAATGATTCTCATAGTACGGAGGGAATGGACAATCGTTCGAATCCCGGAATCTCCGGCCCTTAATGTCCGCTCTTCGCTCGAGACTGTTGAAACCCAGATTTCCCAGATCAGAGGTTCCCGACTCGAGAAGTCATTCCTGCCCGGTACCCCGTCCGACTTACTCAGAGGCATCACCTCATAAATCAAGGTCGAGTCCCCTTGGGACGGAGCTCGGGAACTTCGAGGTATGCCAGGCCCTCCTTTCTGGTGTTAGATTATGGTCTTCCAATATATGGCTCAACGAGAATAGCACTTACAAACTCAGTGAACGTTCTCATCCTCATTTTGGATACTTATGACGTGGAGGGTTGGAGAAACGGTATACATATAACATACATATAAGCCATCGACCTATACCTGCGAGGCCAGTGGCATATTGTAGTAATTCGAGGACCGCTCTGCGGCATTGCCCTCCGCACCCCAATGGATATCCTCTACAGAAGAAATTCTTTGGCTCTCTCTGCTTGAAATTTGATCCGACTTCCCAAGTCCCGGAAAAAGGCCTGTTAGGATTCCCCTATAACCTCCTGTGACGCATATTGTTATTGATTTCCTCCAGATCTCTCGCGGCCGTGGTCATACTTGCAGCCCCGCTTCGCTGCGCCGGACACGAGAACAAGAACACATAAACTAATCAGGATCGAGAACACGCTATCCTGCTCGTACCTTCTCTCAATCCTGAATCGCTCTTCATATGACGTACAGAGGAGCATCACTCGCAATTCGGAGAGTTTCCCTCAACAATGGATCGATTCTCGGATAGACCCCATGATCGAAGATCTAACGATCCGTGAGCTCCATTACCTCGGAGCGCGATTCCATCCAGAAAGTCCCCCCAACTGCCAGACAGGAATCGCCATCTTTCCTCTTGAGAATACATGCTTCTATCGCGAACCCACAGCGTCTCACCGCAACATTAGCGTCAGCGCTCATCCGGATGATTCCGCGTGGGTTTGACCTCGGTATTCTCCGAAAAGTCAGAGATATGAGCTCTCTTCTCTCGCATGTACGGAATTTGTGACATGACCGCTCTTTGAGATCTTCCCGCCATGCAGGAAGCATCCCAATACTCCGCGATCCGCGCCCCCAACCGGAACCTGGCTCCCAAAAAACGCGGATTGGGGAATTCTACAAACATGGAGCCAAGGCCGTCCTCTACGCGTCCGCTGGCGCTTGAGCAGACTGCGAACGCTCTCCGCTTTCTGGAGAGGATTTATAGCGAGTACTCTGCTCAAAAGCGGCGCGCTCATTGGAGGTTATAATCTAGACTCGCTCCTTACTTAGTTGTAAGTCCTAGTGATTTTCGAGTGAGCTGTAGCCCTGAGTGAGCTTCGAAGGACCCGAGGAGAATCAATCATCGGTCTCGGATCATCGACTTCTTGTACAGCAGCGAAATTCTGCTTCAAGATGTCAACTATCGCTGGAGGTCCCCAAGACTCGAGGCACCGCCCAGAGAAAATGAAGGAACTTGGCGATCTTTGCGAAATGACTTGGAAAGAAGCGAGAAGTTCGGCTAATCCTTGGTACGAGGAGTTCTCCGGAGAAGCAGTTGAAGGAGGAGAGCTCATCGAAATGTTTCTGGACGAAGTTTCCGAGAAGCCGCTCCAGAGACCTGGGTATCTTGAAGACCTGAAGAGGGATGTCGAGGATTTCTTAGAAGTTCTCGGGTCGTTTCCCGCGGACGGAGACTCTGAAAAGAGAGAAAAACTTCTCGTAGGCCTTCGCGCCAACCTGAAAGAAATTCTCGAAAGGGTGAACATGATTCTTGAAGATTGCGAACTCCCCCCTCCGGATTCGGGACTAAGGGGGTCCCTCAAGGAGTTAATGTATGCTGGCAGGCCCGCGGTCGATGCTGACCCGGTCTCAGTATCTTCATGGTGAGTTGTGGACGCTAATCCCTCGTCAGAATATTCGAAATCACCCCGCTTCTAGAGCTTGGAAACATCCTCGAGCGCCCTACTCTTACATCCTTAAAATCGACCCGCCGGCCAGAGCTCCCTCGAAAAAGGAATGAATTGAGGTGTAGGAACTCAGGAATTGGAACAAGTTAGCGCTTGAAAATTCATTTCTCTTCCGTCAGGGAATTCAAGGTCATCCTCCGAATGAATCGGTGCCTTGAAGTCTGGTCTATGCACTGGAAGACGCTCGCTGGAGAGGCCTAGGTGGGAAGCTCCACAGAGGAACAAGCCCGTAGCTGACTTGATCCAGGATCGGGAGGCTCCGCACAGAATGATCCGCGTCGCCTCGGCAAGACACAATAGACAGTGTAGATTGGACGCCAACCGAAAATAGTCTTCTTCAGCACCTTGGAAGGAGATCCTCTCATCTTCGCCGCCTCCCCCCTCCGCGTAATGGCTGGAGCATCGGCTATGTGAAACCTTGTGTTTCGAACGCGATGCAGTCTGGGAACTTGCTGACAGACGTGGCATTTCCAGAACTCGCGCCTGACGCCTCTTCCCGGCTCTTCACCATCCGGACCCCGACCTGACTCTCCTCCCACAAACTTTCGACACTCCTCCGGTCTTGCTCTCATTCGCTTTCGTCGCAAGGCCATAGCCAAGTTCTGCTTCGGCGGCTCCGTTCCTGGTATTATCACTATCACGCTTCGATCTTCCTGGATGAGCGTCTTAGGCAGCGCTGGATGTAAGGAAGAGTCACAGCGATGAAATGGACGTCAATCATTGGGGATTAGGGGTTTCAATTTCCATGGAGGGCGTCGCCATGCCTCAGTTGATACAAATCTTTATCCGGGAAGACCCTGCTGTCCTTATCCTGAAAATAAGTTTGTATGACAGGGAATGTAAGAATCCGCGTGGCTCCGGGGAGCTCTATTCTCCAGAAAGATGTCTCTCTCTCTCTCTCTCTCTCTCAATCCAGCCACAAGAGCTCAAAACTCGAACCATGATCGGGCACCAATGGCAGTCCCACCAGTAGCTGTCCGACCTAGGAGTCGAGGCGAAATTTAGCGCTCAGAATCGCCGTGACTTCTTTCAATCCCGGCCAATCGCATGGTTATTTTGTCGGACGAATTGACTTCCGAATTCACCCTATGAAGATACTAATAAACTGGGTTTCATGAATCCTTTCCGCGACGGGTTCGAGAATTCGATTGGAACATACGGACTTCCGGGCCCTGATTCCGGAGTACATCGGAATATCATATAGAAACTTAAGAGTCGAGAGAGGGCTGTCAGGTAGGTAGGAGAGGTCATCTGACTGAGAGGAATCTGGTCTCCTGACCCGATCGATCTATCTGGAGCGTTTCCGACTGGGAGGGGGAAGGAGGGATGAGGAACGGAGGCCTCATAGTCTTCTGAGAGCCCGAGTACCATCAACTCAACTCGGAAGGCTCCTCCTAGCGCCAAAGAGACGTGTCGATCTCTGCCGGTCCGGACATGCTCTACGAGATAACGAGAGCACTGGAGCTGTCCATGTAAAAATCATGTGCGACGGCGTAATCATCGAATGGGCTCCGGGCACCCATCCCTCGAACGGCCAATGGAAACCTCTGGAGCATCCCGATCGACTCCCTCTTCGGATGAATCCTGTTCCCTTCAAAATGGGTGAGAGCCCAGGTGCTCGGGGACGCGAGGACTCGAAGAAGCGGAGTCCTCCTCGAAGACATTTCAGCTGCGCACCAGTAGTAAGATATGTTGCCTTTCATCCTAGTCGGATAAAGGGAGGGATCTGAGCGCGAAGCCAGCCAGCTCCTCTCCCAAGGCTGGACTTAGAGCTTAGGGTCCTGGCTCCGGGTCTTGCGTCTCACACTGTTCCGCCATTTCCGGGATTCCGCGCATAGCAATTAGCAAAACGGATAATCGCCTGGAAAAGCGTTGAATAGTCGCCGATTTCGGCAGCAGAAATCAATCCTTCCTTTTTTTGGAAAAAGCTCACACGCCGCGCCGCTTGATCTGACCGTCATCTCGATGTTTGAGTGCTGCGCCGGATTGGCCCATGAAATCGACAGTATCGGTCGCATCAGAAGCGTCATCAATCTGCGTTCATCCGAGCTATAAAAACTCGGTATAAAGGCGACCGATCTCGGTGTTGATCTTTATGAGGGAAATGCCTCCAGAAGTCGAAGAACGGGTCTCGGCCTCAGGAGCTTCATTCCGCAGGTCAGCCTCACAGAGAGCTGCCTTCGAAGCCGGTCAGGGGAACCGATTAGCCGCGAAGAAGCTCTCCAGTGGATGAGAGAATTCAGACCGAAATTATGCTTTCGACCTCAGAGACTCCGCGAAAGAATGCAGAGAGGTGAGAGTGACTTCGCCTCTGAATTCATCTGCAGGAATGCTGGAATCCGCGGCTCGAGAAGATCTCTGATGGATTGAAGACTTCCTCTCGTTGGAATCTTCAGATATCTGGGGTCATAAATGGAAGGAGCTCACAGGGTGCACCCCCTCGCGAATAGAAACCCCTGCAATCTTTGGGAGAGGGTCCACCAACGAACGACTTGACTTATATAGGCCCGTTCGCGGTGATTCCTCATTGTGCGAGGTGAACTACCGGAATCAACACCTTTCACTTGCTTAGGACTGCTACGGGATCGATCCAGTCGCCAATCGACCATGACGCGAGAGTGAGTATTGAATTCCTCGTTTTCCTCTGCGCCTCCTTTCGAACGTGGGCACCGCAGCATCTCATAGATCGTATTGTAGGAGCTGGCGAGCTAGTTAGAAGAGTGATAACTTCCCGATATTTCAGCGGGAATCCGACGATCACGACGGAGTTCCAACATGAGCGAACCGAACCGGTCGCTGCCTCCAGGGTTGCACTGAACTCGAAAGGAAGTCCTCATGGAGATGCGTCAAAGGGGACGCCTTGCTTCGGAGCCATCAAAAAGGTATTTTTATATAAAGTTTTGAAACTCCTGCTTCGTATGAATCTGCATCGAGGGCTTTCGCCGATCCAGAGGCTCCCATTCCGAGAGTTTTCCACTAAGTTCTGGTATTCCTCTCTCAAGGTCGAACGAGCAGATGACTTGTCGGCGCAAGCGAAGCGCGTATTAGGCGGCTACGAAGGATTGAGCCCCATGCTGCTGGTCGCAACTCGGAGAGATCCATTCACCCTGCAAATCACCGAAACTCTGACCTACTGGGCGGGTCCCTGAACGCGAGCATTCCGGCACCGTGATGGCTTTCGATTTGCTGAAATTACGGGAGCGAGGTTATTTGGATGAGTCCGTTTCTGTTTCGCGCCTGTAATTTACGGGAATGATCCGAATAAAGTTTTGTCGTAGCCGCATCATTTCGTTCGCATTGAATATATCCAAGACCTCAGTGTTCAACTCATGATTGCCCTGACATCGCAGGAAGCTCCGAGCCCGCATGGCGACTATGGTCAGGGGCTTCGAGTGGGTGAGGCTGCCGACGGGCCACGGGTGTCAGACCGTGGCAGACTTCAAGAAGCTTGCGGGACTAAGGCTTTCCCCGACAGGCCATGGGATGCGGAAGGCGGAGTTCGTCGACGGTCCTCCCCACCTCTTTCGAAATATCTCGTGGGCCCCTCAGAAATGCGGGTCGATCTCAGAGAACCTAGATTCCCCTTCTGCAGAGAACCCCATAACTCTCCGTCGTAGCGAGGCTCAAGTCCTCCATCGGACTTGGCAATGCTCCATCCTTCAACGAGGAGCGGGCCCTGAGCTGCCCTGAAGGCCGCTCAAGCATTCGAGTCCTGATCCTGCGGAGCAGTCCATAGGAGCCCTATTTCAAGAGGGTGGGGGCTCTGGTCCTTGCGTGTGAGCTCCGGGCTCAAGTCAGCTTTGTTTCTTCCGAAAGGAATGCTGAAGGTTGACCTTCCCTTGCGTCCATATCTCACAACCTATGTGTCATCTTTGTCCCGACCCCGATTTCCATGGCGGAAGAACGGGGCGGAAAACAACGAATCTCCCTCTCTGATCGTGTGAGCTCTGTGAGTTTCCCTCGGAAGGGTCCCGACGAACTCGCTTGACGAATCTGGGGCCGGACTTTGAATATAAGACCTCGGGAGATCGGATGTATTTTTGTACATGAAAGATTTCTTCCCGCCTCGCTTCAGACATGAGGCGACGAGAAGCGTCCGCAGCATTGCTGTGCAACTCACTCCGCTCGGAAGCCTTTCCCGGCCCGATGGAAAGAATCGAAAGACTCGTCCAGAGCGTACTTCCGTAGGTTCAGGATAAGCATGAGGGGACCCTACAAGCCCTCCCTCGGGCATATGAGAAACTACGAGTATCTCATTACTGTCGGAGGCTCTGGAATCTGAGCGGATGAGGCTCTTCATTCACAGCAATAAAATCCGGCTATGTTTAGGGGGCGCTGAATTCTCAGCGGGCAGATCTCCCGCATGCAGAGATTGTTCGGTTGGCGAGGCGGCCTAATGAGAAGAATCATTAGAGAGTACCCCTCTCCTGTTTCTAGAGCATTGAATTTCGTTTTGCGATAGAGCAGGATTGGCGATCGATCTCGACGGAGAAGTGGCTCGATCTCGTGTCTCTACAGGTGGACGATCATGTCACGGAGGTGAGTGAAGGGAATTTCTGCCTTCTCAGCCAGCCCCCATCCTGTTTCTCGTGAGCAGGCATGCGGAGCCGTCGTTGTCCCGGGTCGCCCGAATGGGGAGGGATTGCCTTCTCCCGATCATCTGAAGTCGGCCTCCGGCCCGATTCGTTGAGGGTGTGCCTCACATACCCGTGCAGTGTTCAGCATGTTCCGGATGTAGGATCGGGTGTGCCTCCAGCAGCGGACGCCTGAGGTATCCTAACACGATCGGGACAAGTCATAATTTAATTAGTGAAACAGTTTTGATGGAGGCGCTTGACAGATGCGAAGAGAGCGGGTGAAGGTCGCTCACCTCGATGCCATGGCCAGATTTCACCGATCTCTCAGTCTCCGGATTGGCCACTCGAGATCGTCGATCAGAGTTTGAATATTATAGCTGAAGACAGCTCTTCGCTGCACCGTGACCAAGGATGAGCGATTCAGGAGAAGAAGAGGTCCGATGTGTTACGGAATCGCCTTACGTACACCCGCTGTTCCTGCACCCTGGCCCAGCCCATGGGTGCCGCGATCGTTCCCGAACGATGTTGTACAATTCGGTGGCGCGATCCGGAGTAGGTACACTAGAAGGCGGAGTTATCGATGATTATATCAATAGGGATTCTGTCGAAGGTCTCCGTTCCGATACGATATGATCTCGTGGCCTCCACAGCCTTCGCCTCAGCATCACAAGCTCAATACCGAAAGCAGCTAAGGCTTTGGAGCTCGATAGATACGATTCATTAAGATTCGAGAAAGGAGTGAAATAATTGGAATGTTTCAGCGGGAAGTCTACGGTCTCGCGGGACTCCAGAGACGCGCCGGCCGAGAAAATCGAGTCTTCTCAGATCGCTCCGACTCCAGGGAGCAGTACCCGGGGGCATGTGACGGCAACGGCACCTTCTTTCGGAGCCATCGAGAAGGTATTTTCAAGACGAAGTGTCGTTTCAATTCCATCGTGACGGTGGCAAAGTCTCCGGTTCTCCCGTCTAACATGAACATCTCCTCTATTCTAGGTGGATCGGTCAGACACCCTTTCCAGGCAAGCGAAGAGCTTGCTCGGCGGCTACGAGGAGCTGGGTCCTCCGCTTCTGGTCGCGACCCGGAGAGATCCTCTAACGCTCGAGGTGACCGAGACTCTGACCTATTGGACAGGCCCCTGATCGCAAGGATCCAAGCAGGGCTACCGCTCTCATACCATTGAAAGCGGACGAGCTTTGCGACACTCATTGCTATAATTCAGTAGGCAGACTCACCCGGTCTCATTGTATGCTCTTTCTACTACATAGATGTTTCGGCTCCTTCTGTTTTCGCGCAGAAGATAAGGATTCATAAGGGTGAAAATCAGAATGAAAGCGTCTGTCCTACCGCTGGCGGGAAGGGACGAACCCCGTCCGCTCGGAGCTTCTCGGATATCACGGAGCAGGTTTCTTGCCGAGGCTTGCTGCACATACGGGCCAAGCAGGTCCCAGGTTGGAAAAGTCGGAGGCGGCAAACCCGGGACTGTCGGGATTCTCCCGCCGATTCTCCATGGACTGGGAACCCCGGTAGAAGTAATTCCGCGAACCATTTTTCAAGCGAGAAGCCTCTCGAGCGGAGCGGGAATTCCAACAGGAATTTCCTTCTCTGGTAAACCATGCTATCATCGAGGTTATCATAAACTATTCTATACGAGAAATTGTCCTCTTGTTTCCACCGCAGCAGCCTTGACGCCACGGAAAACGTCATAATCAGAGCTATCGAGCGCATTCCGGGGAGTTTCCTCCTTGGAGTTTTCCCTCCCCTCTCGGAATAAGCGGCCTTGTTGCATCAGCCTTGAGCGAAAAAAACCCTGGAATTGGCCCCGTTCACTCACTATTCGTCCTGTAGATCGGGGGCTCGGGGAGGCGGACGCCAACCATCGAGCTCTAGCTCACTTCCGAGATCCGAGTTGTCTTCGGCTTCCGAAAGCTACAGGATCTACGCCCCAAGATTGGACGCAGCTCAAAAAGCAGGTCACGGAGTGACAGCGATAGTCCGAAGAAGAAGGACAATAGCGTCCTCAAGGGGGCCCAGGGGCAATGCCCCCCTCCCCCGAAATTTCTGATCCCGTGCGGAAGTATGGGCCCTGAGGAGGCGCATCACTATTTCGAGCCTCTGGAAATTCGAGCTGCCCCCTCCCTCAAAAGACATTGTGTGTACTGGGCATCGGCGGCTCCAGATTACTATATTCTGGAGACTTTCGAGCTTGACATTTGGGGTTGTCTTCTCTGAGAGGAAGGACAACCGTGCAAAGCAATCAGATCGCGAATGAGGGCATGGAAGATTCCTGTCATGCCGATTTTCTGAGCGAAGCGGCGTACGACTCCGCGATTCTGACCCAGATCGGATGCGTGAAACTAAAGCCGATCCAATAGGAAGTAGAGACGGGCGGTGAGACGACGATCTCAGTCAGGGAGCCGCGGATCTATCTGACCGTATCCAGTCTAGGGCTGAGCAAACGGCCATCGGTCCATCGAAAATCGGGGCTCGATTGCCTTTCGGTCTCGATTCCGCGAGATCGAATGACAGAGGGAACCTGCATGATAGAGGGGAAACAACGGCTGGGGCATTGACCCCACTTGACCTTTCTTCCTTTGGACGAGAAGCATCCCTATCCATGATGACTGGTGTATGGATAGAATTCCGGTAGTGTCGAATTTATTACTTCCGTGCGGACTTTCCTCGAACCGGTGAAAAACGATTGATTTCGCATGTTCGCAGCGTCGGCTTTCCGGAACGATCAATTACAGAAACCTCTCTGATCCCGGACGAGAGAAATCGTCATCGGAATAATCTGTTATGTCGCTTCGTGGAGAAAATTTCCGTCGGTTTTCTATCGCTTCGGAGCTTCGATGGAGGCGATCAGGCAGCGAGCTTCGACGTTGTCAACATCCATTCCTTGGACCGCATTGGTGGGCTTATACTTTCTTTCTCATCCGTTCCCGAGCTGCGCTGCGGCCAAGGTCATGCCGCGCCGTTTCGTCGAATTGTCTCGCTCGTTTCGCGGTCGTCGTTTCGTCGTACTTTCCGACCCTAGGTCAGCATTTAGTCGCTGAGAGTCTCGCGAGCGAGGAGAGCACAACGAAAACACCAGTGGCACAACATCGCTCACACCACAATACACCCAGCTGATGACAAGAATCATCAGCATCGCCAACCACCGCCAAACTTCTCGATGCAATGCTGGTGTAACTCCTCAAGAGCGATCGAAGTGCACTTTGCTGACTTCTCACCTAGAGTTGTGTCTCCTCTCATCCGGTTGCGCACTGGTAGTCACCGGAGCTGATCGGAAACACAGAAACTTAGGCGGTCTGTCCGGCACTTCAGCCAGAAGTGCTTAAGGCTGGAAACATTCGAGTGTAATTGGATGCTTCCAATGTCCCCGATGGTCGAAGGAAAACCAGACGGACCGAAGGGACTCCGATTCTACATGGTGCATTCGTAGATGTTCAGGTCGTCGTGCTCGTGGTTGGAGAGGTCAGCCAACGGATACGAGTGCCAAAGGTGAGTTCGCTCCGTGAATGATCGCGACGCCTTTCGCCATCAAAGGTGAATTTTCGATCCCCTGCTGCTGGAGAGCGAACACCATCGCACATGTGCAGCTTCTGCTCTTGGCTAATTCTGTGACTTGTGAATCACAATTGCTCCCACTCGAGCCCGTCTCCGATCGGAGCGCTTCGCTCTCGAAATCGGCCTCTACCTCGGATCTAGAGACGTTTCCAGCGACTCTGCAACGCCTAATGAGCTGGTTGTATGGTCTAGTGACTCCTTTTGTGTGTGTTTGGATTTGCTAGTTCGAGCTTTGATCTCGGGGGAGACCCGACCATCGATCCGGGACCACCAACAATCAACGGTTGAAAGGAGCATCGGGTGAAAAACCACAAAATAAATCGACGACTCGATTTTCAGATGGACGCTTTCAGCACGCCCTCAACGCTCTCAGAGAATTTCTACTCACACCTCTCAACCCTCCTCGATGTCGAATATTGGTCATGGATGTGGTGGCTCTTCAAACCCCTCATGGTACGAACGCGGCTGTCCCGCTTCTCGAGTGGAGGACTCGTGCTGGCGCAGTTTTCGTGTTTTCGAAACTATTGGATCAAATAATGTTTCCGAGAACGGGATGCCACCACTAATTTTTCATCGGGATTATATTCTTATACTGTCGATGCTCTTCCCCAGATAACTTTTCTCCTGCCTGGCCTGATATATGTCTTACTCTACATATCTATCATCGTTCTGTATATCTACCAATTCCGTCACATCCTCCGCGAAGAAGCTCAACACGATTTCTGGAATGGCGCGCGTACTCTCCTCTCATTGATTTGGTGGTGTCATGCCAGAATATATTACGGTACGTTTCGGACTCCGAATCAGCTGTGTGCACAGGAGAATCCCTTACTCGCTGGCAGTATCCTCCCACGGGGTTCGCTCAATTTTCCAGGCTATGAGCTCTGCGGATTGGAGAATATCCCATCGACGGGACCTGCACTGATTATCTATTACCACGGGGCGATCCCCATCGATTATTATTACATGGTGGCGGGTATCCATATGTACAAGAAACGCCTCATGCGAGGGGTGGGGGATCGCTTCCTCCAGAGTCTACCCGGATTTCGACTGTTATTAGAGGTGAGTGCAACTCTTCCTTTCTTAAGCATCTATGCTACTTCGTCGGGTGAACGAAACAGTCAGAGGCGATCGATGTCGTTCTACGTTCAGAATTCGTTCGTCAACAGGTGTTTAAAGTGACTCCGGGCTCCGTTCAGAGTTGCGTGGAAGTGTTGAGAGATGGTAATATCCTTGGGATTTCACCAGGGGGCTCATTTGAAGCTCTTTTTGGCACACACAAGTATCAGTGAGTTTCCTGGGCCGTGAGTCATGAGCCTTGAAAGCCGGAATCGGAACACGTCATGGGTTTTGTTCATTGATATGGATATGGTGAATCTATGTAGACACAATTCTTCGCCACTTTCCTAGCTCGTAATTATTTATCATCGCTCGGCGATGTAGGCCCTCTTGCGTCAATTTCTGATTGACATGATGATATCGATGTCCTCCGACATCTGTGAGCATGGGAAGATATATTGATCCATTCGTTCTCACCCCTATATTTCTGGAAACATTCTTATGCTCATTGATGAGCATGGCAATCTCTGATTAGCTTGCCCTTCACCATACCGATTCTCACTAGACAGCCCTCTAAGCCCAAGCGTGTAACTTCGGGGTTTCAATTTACAGAATTCTCTGGCGAAATCGGTGTGGTTTCGCGAAAGTAGCTCAAGAGGCCAAGGTTCCGATTATACCAGTATTCACACAGAATATCAGAGAGGCTTACCGCACATTCCCATACCCTATGTGTGAGTATCTGAGTGCATCGATCTAGCGGAGTTTTTCGCGTCCAACCTCAGAAAATTGAATTCCCACTAAAGTTTTTCTAATAAGGTCCGCATCACGCGCAGTATCCGGCTTCAGACTTAGACGAAAACTCCCTCATTCGTTTCAGCGTTCTTCCTAGAAGTTTATGAGCGAACCAGATTGCCATTAGTTCCGATATTCGGGGGTTTTCCAGTCAAATTGCGGTGAGTACTCAACCACATCATTCTAGGGAACTCGAGCCATGCACTAGGCAGTCAGACCCCTCCCCTCGCTCTCCCGGGAATTGAATCAATGAACATTTGCAATGGAAGGTGTTCGTGGTGGGAAATGTTTCACGGAATCTGTCCTCTGACGCAAGCTTAACTCCGCTTGACGTGGATGGCGGTGTCGCGTCAGAGCCACTTCCAATTGCCCCTATTCTCTGATTTCATCGTGAGCGTCATCGTAATCCGGTCAGAGTGTGACGGCCAAGCGGAAGTGGATGGAAGGGTCGAGCGCCGACCGAGTGTGTGCCGCTGACTGTCAATTACAATTAGAATTGTCAAGCTCCCGAATCCTGAGAAGATGACGCCTTGTCTTCATTCACCTGGGAGCTCTATTCCGGCGCTTGCAGCTAGTCCGTTGGGGGACTGCGCACGGCGGAGCAATTGGGACGACGATATAAGTCTCGAATTCTGAGGAGATGGAGAAATGAGATTTTCTTTTTAACGTTTCACAGCACGATCATCGGAAAACCGATACCCTACGACGGGACGCTAACGACGGAACAGGTGGTCGAAAAGGTTAGATTGACGCAAACAGAGAGGCGACAATGGTCCATCTGTTTCCGTCGCAGCAGAATGCATTCTCCCTCTTCCCCTCACGCGTCATGAGAAGAATAAACTTCTTCCAGACGAAAGTTGCCGTCGAGGACCTCATAGCGGAGCATCAGAGGATTCCTGGCAGCATCATCAAAGCTCTCGCGGAGAGATTCGAATGGATTCCTCAACTTCTAGGCATCCGGCCGAAATTCACGTTGAAACGGTGACCCGTGAAGGTTGTCTAGCTCTTGGCTTCCACAGAGTCTCTACAGGAGGAACGTTAGGCGAAATCTGAATCTGTGGGACTTTCCGTCAGAGAGGAGTCTCGTCGATGAGGTACTACGCTTAGGGAAGCCGAAGAATTTCCAGCGTCGTCTCAAAACTTCCTTGTACATGAGTTCCCTGATGACGGGCTTGCTTCTCCGCCGACATCATCTGGAGGAGCAGTGTTAACGCTCTGTTACGTCCGGTCCATTCATCCCTTTGTGTGGGATAATCTTCGTGATGTTTCTTGTTCCGGTATTTGTGTGATTGTAAACGTGATCTGAGACCTTTAGTTTTAGCTGTGTGTATCTGTATCGTTGAATGTCGATGGCTGCAGGACAAGCTGGACAACCTTAAACTAGGTCGGGAAGCCAAATCGTGTCCCTTACTCTTGAGCACTCGAGTAGGCGCAATCAGAGCCGTGCTGCGAACAACGACGCGTACCCCGTGCGCACCTTCATCTTAACCAACACGTCGCTACGTGGTGATATTTGGCCGTTTTCATGAGTTGCCGTCGCTTCGGCCTCCTACTCCTCCTCCTCGAGGAATGGCTCCGAAGAACATTGCGAGAGATTTTTATTTTCATTACATCGATTTTTAGTTGCATGAATGGAAGAATGATTTGTTATGTCGGTCTTTTAGTCTCGGGCGGATGCAATCTGGCGCGAATGAGGTCTCTTCTCGCCAGAATACGAATTCTTCTTTGAGTAATAAAAGAGCGACCCATTCACATGACAGGGAGAGTAAGGAACATCCGCCTGTATTCTTTCCCAAACTCTTGGTGACTTTATTACAGATATTCATCTTTATCATCATGATCCAGGACAACCAGTGTACATTCTCAACCTTCTCGGCGATTTCATGGGTGTGATACAAACTCTTCTGAAGGAAGCCGTAAAATTTGGCTGATCACCGACGATATGACTAAGCGACGGGGAAAATTGCCGCATTCAGAACGGACGCCGACAGACAGCTTCCTTTCCACCTTAACAGAATATTTTTCAATGTGTGCCTAGAAGAACCTCAGACGTTCTACTCAGCAGATAATTCGATTTCCGAATGAAGCACGACGGCACCTGAAGTTCATCCGCCGCGCTCGGGAAACAAGGCACGTTCAGAGCACCCCGAAGAACAATACTTTGAGATAAGCGACAGTCGGATAGAAGAAATTCACCAGTTGCTTGACCACATCCTGAGATTCTTCCAGAGTCATTGAATTTACCATTTTGATCGCCGTGTTGACTTCGTTCTGCAGCTCGGCGTATAACTTGTTACCTTGCATAGCTTTTACCTGCAACGGAACGCGCAAGGATGAGCATACACCTGCGAGATCATCGTCCGTTCGGAAAATTCATCGCATAAACGAATCATCAAGATATGATGGGATGAATTGATTTTCTTCGACCGCTCACCTTATATACAGCTTCCTGAGCCGCACGGTGCTGTTTGTGCTCTCTGCTTGAGTGATTCTTGGTTAACAAGACGAGTCCGTCATCGGTGAGATGCTGAGCAATTATAGCTGCCATGACGCGGCAATTGAATCTGAACGTCAATGAGAACGGTGAGCGCCTTCCGAATCCGATGGCTCCTAGGATTCCACCGCTGATCTTGTCCTCGCTGCTCTGCATGAGACTCTCGAGGAAGAGCTGCAGATGCCGATAGATGATGCGGACATCTCCGTCACATTCCAATTGCCTCAAGCACAACACCAGTAATTTCTCCCAGAGCAGAAGAATTTTCGGCTCAGACTCGTCATTTGTCGGAACCGTTCCCACGACCCACTCGACTATCTTAGCCAACAAATGCAGCTCGTTCTCGAGCGTGCCGCATTGCGGCAGTTTCTGCAGCACGTAGGCGTAGAGTGTCAGGAACGAACTGTTTTCCACGCACGATTGCAGCAGCTCGTCGACGTTCGTCGAGGGGAACTGGATCGAGTTGAGAATCGTGCACCAGCCGCCGTCCGAGGAGAACATCTCCACTTCCGACTTGGAATACGCCGCGATGCAGGCTTCGACGATTCGGGGCACCGATTGTCGGTTGTTGAGCGTCATGCCAACGCTGAGGCAGGGCAGAATGAGTTCGGAGCCGGGATTCCCTTCGACCCATTCGACGACGCCGTCGGTGAGAACCTGAGCCCATTCTATGCTCTCGACCACGTTGAGCACCGACAGCACCTCGCGAACTAATACAATACTTTGTTGATTATAATCCAACTGACTTGAATCGATCAAGTCGGCCACACAAGCGAAATGCTTCGGCACAATCTGAGACACGCACTGGTGATTTTTGACTAGATCCCTCGTTCCAGGAGTGTCAGCGCATTTTTGTACTAATCGGGCAGTCGTATTAAAGTAGGCGGCTTGTTTCTCTAGCGTTGAATACGACGCGTTGATCGTTTTCATGCAACACAAATGCTGCATGAAATTCAGAAGAGCGTCGTCCTGAGAATTTTCGTCCGGTAGCAGCACACACAGGGGGTCACAGCTGAGGGCGAAGAGGTTCAGGAAATCCTTCACCAATGCTACCGATATACAGCTCCAATCCACGTCCGCTAAAGCTCTGCAAACTTCTTGAGTTCGTTTCGACTCGATAATTGCTTGATGCCAACCGGTTTTGAGGAGCAGTTCGCTAAAACGTGAATAGATTTCCGTCTTAGCGTCGTGCCCACTCCGCGGAGCGACATCCACGAGCAGATAAGGCCAGTCGATGCGAAGGAATAACTCGTTCAGGAACGGAAGATGATCGACGTATTTCGGTTCTAGGAGTTTGGTCATCAGGCGCAAATCCTGAATCGTCGGCACGAAAGCGTCCCAGGGAAGTTGCAGTAGCTCCTGATAGTACAATGTGCTGATGTAAACTGCGGTGTTGTTCCACACGTAGCTGGTGAAGTAGCGTTGCCAGACGGTATTCAACGTCGTTCGCTGTACTCTCGTGAGGACATTCTGAGCGAGAACGAGCACTCGTCGGTAACTCCGAAGCATGACGGCAGCTTTCTCGTTCTCACCCGGTAGCCACGGCAGCAGAAGCTGCTGTCCTTGTTGCAGTGTTCCCAGCCAGGGTTCGTAGAGTTCAAATATCGCCTGTAGAGCCTCATCTGTATCAGAAGCACTCGGCATTGTTTGGACTAGATCTTGTGCTTTTTGAAGTATGTACAGACTTGAAACTAAAGCATTCACATTCGCCATTGGTTCAATGTAATGTTCTCGGAGGCAATAGAGACCGTTGCGGAGAGCCGAGGGGTCCTCGTTTCGGAAATTCTTGAAGAATTCCGAGATTATTCGGCAGCTCTCCATCACTCGCTCAGCGCCGGGCGGACCGCAATGTTTCGGCAGATCGCCAGCCTGGATCGACGCGTATCCAAGGGTGTCGAAGAAGGCATCGAACGTCTCCAGCGGAATGTTGTTCTGGCGTACGCCGTTCAATAGCACATTTAGAATTTGGAAAAAATGCTCGAACTCGTTGACTGCCAATAGATCTCTCATTTGATTCACGTAGACAGCCGCTATTCTGTTGAGCGCGTTGTCTCGCTCGGTCTTTCGTCCTATACTTTGCAGCGCCACTTCCAGAGTTCCAATGAGGTTTTGACGGTCCAACGCGCTCGTAGGAGTCGCTCGCATGTAGGACCCTATGTCAAACTTGCTCAGCAGCACGAACTGGGTTTCATAGAGAGCGGGACCCAAGCTGTAGCATAACCTGTTGTACATGTCGGCGTAGCGGGCTGGCTGGCACACGGCCGGTGCAAAGTAAGGCGAAAGATAGCTCACCAGATGGGGGTTTCGGAGAATTAGTTCGAGGAGCGGCATGGCCTGATTCGGGTCTGGGCAAATGACAGCCTGGCCCACCACTTCCAAACATTGAGTTAGGAACTGGCGGGTGGGCGTATGCTCCAGACATTCCTTGTCCATGAACTGGACAAGGTCGGCGAAGAGCTTCCCGCCAGTGACTCGGAGTTGAGGAGCGATGTCTTCATGCAATCGCAGACAATTCACGAGCTGAGTGATGCACGACTCCACAAAAGTGCAGGCGTTGATGACGGCCGACGAGGCTGGGCTCCGAAGGTCGGACAGCACGGTGCTCCACTCGATACGGTTTTCCTCGAGCTCCTTGTCTACGATTTTGTTCTTGTGCGCTTCGTGGAACTTGAACTCGAGCCGCGCGTGCTGCTTGCATTTCGGACCGAGAGAACAAGCCATGTAGAGTTGTATGGAGCGATCTTCGTTCGAGTAGAGTTTTTGCAGGAGCTCGATGTGTTTGCTGTTGAGGTTCTTCAAATGGATACTTTGAGCGTTGAAAGCCCTTGCATGACCCATCATCGTTCTCAACTCTAATCTCACGTCGTTCAACAGTCTTTCGCCGCGAAGGAGAACGTCTTTGGTGATTTCCGCTATGACCAACTTGATAATCGGTATCGGGGGAGGCTCCAAGACCTCTCCGTAGCCTTTCAGTCGTTTGAGAATACGTTGCTCTACTGTTTTCTCCACGATTTTTGGTGGCGGTAGGGATTTTTTCGCCTTGAAAGCACTTTTCCTCTCTGCTAAACGGTCGAGATTCTCCTCCACGACCTCCAGGTGCACGAGATCGTCCCAATGATTTTGGTTGCCGCAAAGGAGTATCTTCAGCAGCTCTGGGTTGTAGGGCTCCGGCAAAGCCAGCAACGACACATTTGGATCGTGCAGGCGAGGCTGTTCGAGCCACAGATACAGAGTTCTGAAGTACTTCTGCAATTTGCTGAACAACTGACAAACTTCGTTCATTCGTGCTAGAACACGACCCGTCTCCTTGGTAACGTCGACCAACGGCTGTTCCTGGAGATTTTTCGCGAGGTTGCTGTGTCTCTGGAGGTAGAACTCGGCGGTGTCGTTGAGTCTCTTCTTGACCTGTTTCAGCAGAGGGTGATACGTAGTGTTTTCGAAAAGTCGAAAACCGACGCTCCCGCTCGGAGGGGCTCTCTGCAGGTACATGAGGAAAAACTGTTGCCAGATCAGAGGCAGAGCCGGATGATCCATTTCAGTGTCGATTCCCTGTTGCGCCCAACGATATATGAGCAGAAACTCCTGACTTGGCGTGTTCTTCACGTAACCGGAGACAATTTTCAGAGCGTTCTCTACTTTCAGCTTTGAATTTGTCGTCATTTCCTTGAGGAGATAGCGCCACGGTTCTTTGTTCTGTTCAACTCGGCTCTCTGCCACTAGACCGGCCCAGGCGAACCAGGAGAACTTGGTCGATGGGAGCGGGACGAGAATCGGCCAGCTGGACCCCGAGCCCCATCCGACATAGCTTATCACGGAGCGTACCATCGAGGCGGAGGAGGAGCTCGACGGTGCGACGTTGGCCACGGACTCCTGTAGAAACGAGAAGACGTCTTCGATGCATCCCACCTCTGAGTAGGCCAGCTGGACGAGCGCGTCGAGAAGGAAGAGAATGCTGTCCCGCGCCTTCGCCTTGGAGCCTTTCTTGATGGACATTTCGGGTAAGCTCACGAGTACCTTCAGCCACATGAGGAGACATTTGCTCTGCAGACTCCAGGCCTTGGCTTTCCGGACCTGGAGCACGATGGCACGCGCCAATTGTCCGAGAACATCGCCGGGGAAAGTCGTCTCGACCAGGTTCTTCACCATCGATGCGTACGTATTGTCGGCCTGGATGATGGTCTCGATGGCACCGAGAAATCTGTGGTTGGTCACTAGAAGATCCGGTTTCGAGATGAAAACCGTCGAAACCCGACTGATGGCCTCGACGGCTGCGGTGAATTGTTCTTTGAGAGTTAGCTCGACCACGAACTGTATTCCTCTCCCGGCGATATCCTCCCGATAGTGACCCACGGAACAGATCATCAATGCGATGTAGAGAGCCGGCGGCATTCCTTCGAGAACTCCTTTGCGAAGGATTTCGAGCCCATCGGTGTTTTCGAGGGAATGGGCGATCCCGATTGGCGGATCGTCGTCGGTTATCAATCGCCATTGAGCCGGATGAGGATAATCGAACACGTGCAAGTGCAGCCGGAACATTATATCCCACAGATACTGAATGAAGCCGTCGGGCGTGGCCGCCTGCTTCGTGCCCAGCGCGTAGTCGGAAATGTATTTGAACTGTTTGTAGGCGTACCCGGTTTTATCGAACGGGAGATAATGGGCCTCGTAGGCGCCCAGAAGGATGAGGCTGACTTTCTGATGGTAGTGCTCGGGAAGGAAGAGTTGTCGATTTTTCTCGTCGTAGCCATAGTTCATATTGAGCAGGATCTGCCGAGCCAAGGCGTTCTGGGGACTCGTGAGAGCGCTGTCGACGAGGAACTCCTTCAAGATGGACAGGTCCTCATCCTCGGGCACCCAGGCCGAGATGTCGAAGTCGCTGAACAGATAACAGGCCATGTTTCCTACTTTCTCGATGTGTTGATGTATTTGATCGAGCAGCACCGACATCACGAAAGGATGTTTGCTCACAAGACCGGACAGGAGCTCACGTCCCGTCTTGCAGTAGGTCTGTCGCAGCCTCACGTGGATGTACGATATGTTGAAAACCTCAACGACCACCGTATGGATGAAGGCTCGGTTGGCTATTTCACGCGATATGGCCATGTTGGTGAACGTTGTCAACAGGTAGTAAACCTCGTCCTCGTCCATCTGATCGATTTTCTCCTCTAATTTGTTGTTGTTCTGCAGCTGCTTGGCGATCTCGTGGACCCTCATGTCGACCAGCTGAACGTCCTCCCTGTAGTTGTTGTGGAGGAGCCATAACAATTGCCACATGATTCCGTGCGAAACGTTCTTGTAGGGGAGCGCCGCCATGAATTGCCATGCTCCCAACGATTCCGAGTAGAAGATCGAGTTCACAGCGCGGAGCAGAAATTGATCGTATTCTACCTGGATGACAATGAGCCCGTTCGTCTGGGGCTTGTCCGCGAGGAACGCCTCCCAGTGGTCCGACAGATACTCCACACAATGACGGATGAGGCGACTTATCCTCTTGGTCAGATCCCGGTACCTTACGTGGTGGTATGTTCGAAGACCCTGGTGGAGTATGTTCACCAGATGTGTTGAGAACGAGATGAGCTTGAGAATTTGTTCCTCGTTCGCTCTCTCGCTGTCGTAGACCGTGTCGACCAGGAGCATGTACTTGAAGATGTCGCCGAACGGGATCTGATGCAGAAGCTCCACCACGTCAGATTCGTCCCAATCCAGATAGAGACTTTCCATAGTGAGGTCGTTCTCGCCGTCGCTGTCCAGGATGCACCACGAATCGCTTGGAGTTTCTTCGCTGATCGCTTTCAGGGCGCTGAGGAAGTTCTCACGATCCTTGATTGGATTGCAGATCAGACTCAGCACTAACATGGCGTAGTCGAAAACCACGCCCGGCTTGAAATCGTACGACGACCAATCCTGACTCCCGGACCAACTATCCACCGGTGGGATATGCACCATGTCGGTCGCCCATTTATTGATCCCTCGAGGGCACCTGCGGATAGAATGAGTAGACGATCAAGAGAGGAGAAGGGGAATGATAGACAATGCGATCGTTCGCCATCCCCCCAGCGTTGCCCAGCATCCATCGGCGAGAATATAGCAGTCATACCTCAGCACATGCGATGCGATGAAGAAATGATCTTCTAGAGATGCCATTCTCAGAAGCACGGCGACGGACGACTTCAACCAATGACGGATCTGCTTAACGTAGGCTGAGTCGTCGAAGGGTTTCCGCACGAAGCAGAAGAGGATCGAAATCATTTCCCTCAGGGTCTCCTTCGCTTCTTCCTGCTCACGACCCCATTGATGTTTCCCTGACGAGACATAGAGGAGAGCTCGAAACTTTCCCGAGCAGTGGATAATAATTACTATAGCAGGATCAAAGCTGTGCAGCTGAACTTCCGCTCACCGATTTTCGGAACGGGATCGTTCTTGGGAATGGCACGGAAGGGGATCAGTCTTTTGTTCACTAGTTGCTCTACTTGAGTTTTCAGGACTTGTGCAGAATGGTTCTTTGTCGCGTATTCCCCTCGCAAGACTTCCTCCAAGACTCTCAGCTCATGATTCAATTGTTGTGCTTGGTGCTTTTCATAGGTCGAGATCTCATACTCATGACTCTTCTCTATAGAGGTGTTGTCTCCGCACCTGCAAGAAGAGATAAGGAACGGTTAGCGATTCGGGAAGCGGTGATTCACGCGTTTGATCGCTCCGATTTGAGCGCGTCCCATCTTCCAACAAACGTCGAGCTTCTGAACATGACACCCTGCGTGACCTGTACATAGCTCGGCCTTCGCATGAGCGAATTTCAGTGGCAGACCGACGGGTTAACATAACTGCTCATGGGCCTCGAGTATTTATGAGCAGACAGAGAGCCGAGTTGTCAGAGCACGCTGCAAGTCGAATGCGCACAATCCCTAACGCAAATGTATCCCATCGACCGAATCAGGAACTAGCCGTCCTCCGCATTGGATACGTCTCTTCCGCGTTCGCGCAACCTATGCCTCGGGAACTCACCGATCGTAAGCTGAGACCTGTCCCCGGCCCATACTCCAGACTTTCGCCTCGAGCTCTTTTGTCCTCTCGACTATTTCGTCGATCTTCTGAGAGCATTTAGACAGTGCGCTTCTCTCGGCGTAGTACAAAGTCAGCAATTTGTATAGTTCGTGCTCGGGAAATCTGCAACAAGAACATCCATTTTATCACGTGAGCTCCTCCTCTATCCGTGGTCGGTCTGGAGCGATGCATTATTGAATACCGTTTCCCTGCAAAAAGCGAAATACGGACCTAGATTCACTATACATGTCTATGAATGTATCCTCCAATCGATCTTTCTGGTGGAGGAGAACTCCCTGATTTATGCGCATTATATCAGCTTCTGTCATGGGGAGCACTCTGATCTCTTCAAAATCCACTTCGGGGTAAACCCTGAAAGCAACGCACGCGAGAAATGGATTATGTCCGAACAATCGGGATCAATTGAATCCGTCCGCTGTAAATGATCTGGGAGTCTAACAGCACAATTCTGCATGAAAGTATGACTGATTTGTAGATATTCACCTTGTGAGAGCTTTCCGCTGGCTGAGGTTGATTTCTTTGAGCGGCGGTAGTTCCAACGGTGCCTCGCCAGGGCTCGGGAGATCGCCCGAGAGCAGTGGAGCTGACGGTGTCACGATTTCCGAAGGGAGCTCCTGTTCCGGCATCGGGTCCTCACAGGGTGGGGCTGAAATTCCGTCGGAGCTCGAAATAAGTTCCAAGAGGATCATATGAGAGAACGCGAGTATCGCATCCGTCAAGGAATCGATGCCACCGCTCTTACCGTTACAAAGAATTTGAGCTCCGGCGGGAAACGAGTCCAATGAAGGGTACAGATGAGTGCCGTTCTCTATGATATCATCGTGCTCTTCCAACGGCGCCGCGGGGACTTGTTGGAGTATTTCATTACAGATCGCCGGAGATAATACCTGTTGTCTATCATCGGCTCGCTCCGGTTCGGGGCTTTGTACGTCTTCATTATCCATATTTTGATTGTCATCCTGTTCATGATCCACAGCCGAAGGGAGGGTCGCGGTATCGTCGATACGAACGCATTCCGCATTCATACTAAGGCATTCATTATCACGAGTTTCTCCTGCTTCAGGTATGGACGCTTCGCGTTCATCAGCCAAAGATTCGCTGCCCGAGTTTTCTTCTTCTGCGAGTCTGTGTTGCACGGATTCAACTTCCGGAAAACGTCCCTCATTTTCCATTTCGGACGAATCTGAAACGAAATCTCTGTTTTCAGGAAAGTCGGCACGATCGCATCGCTTTCGTTTGCGGATTAGCGTCCCTAATCTTCTCTCGCTTCTGACGCCGCGATGTCTCGAGCGTTATACGAAAAGCTCGAGAGGCATCGGTCGGGGGGAGGGGGTATGGACTTCGAGTCTGGTCTCGATCTATCTTATCTTGAGCATGAGGTCGTTTTCCGATAAGGTGTCGAAACCGAAAATCTCAACTGCTCGACCGAACTTGCTAGTCTAAGAACTTTGACATGCGTCATCATTGATACAGCTGATAAGAACGGGTGCCTTCCGAAAATGCACCAGCGATAAAGCTCAGTGCAATCAATGTCAAGCCCAATCGACACCGGGGGGGCATCCTTTGAGATCCCTACTGTTTGGAATGACACTTTCTGACTCAGGAAGCAGGCGTGCTAAATTCGAGGGCTTTGAACGCCATCGCAGTCAGCTCAAGCGGTCGGAGCTTGGCGTAATAGCTCGGAGATGGCCTCGTCAGATTCAATGATGGAAGAAAAAATTGGGCTCCCCTCCCCAGCTTTCGGGCTCTTCACCTTCCGTGAGATTTCCTGTACAGATCACTGTCGTTCATATGCAGTCAGAGCAAACTTCAAGCTCCTTCGGAAGCTTCCACAAGCCGTGGAGCGACGCCAGCCAAACATTGATGGGGAGCCACTCAATCAGACAGTGACCGTTGGTCAGGTGTCTTCTCGAAGCCGTGAGGGGATTGGTTTCAAGTATACCCAGCGAGCCCGACAACTTACCAGCTGTTCCGAGTACATCGTCCTGTGGCACTGCAGGAAGCTTCGACAGCAAGTCGTGCGTCGTCCTGTCATCAGCTTTCGCTTGAGTCGCTTTTCTTTTCGACTTGTTCTTCTTGCGCACAGCTTCCATCACTGCTCAGTTGCTAATGTTAATTTTGCTGGTTTCGAGTTCTGACGCATTCTACGATGCTGTTGCTGCGACGGTGAGCTCTCTCCTCTGTTTAGTATCGCAGCAGTAGCCACACGGCTCTAAGTTCGCCGCCGCTGCGTCTCTCTCCCCTGTGGACAATAGAGTTTCGAAAACAGATGTGCGAGCCTCAGCTGATGTTCCTTCACCCGGAAACCGATCAAGTCCGCTTCCGCTCACCACATTGAGAGGACTTTCTGTGATATCACCGAATGCCTCGAGCCGAAGTTTGCTCCTCGCTGACCCCAGCAGCGAAGATCTCGCACTCGAGTTCCGAGATACGTCCGTGAGAGCGCTAGGTACAGCGGAGTCTCACTCCATGTCCGGGTGCAGGCTCGGAGCGCTGTAACAGTCAGCTGATAGCTCCGGGTTCGCGGCGTAGACAATCAGGTTCAAAAATGGAATGCTTTTTCGATCCTCCTGCCCGTCCAGTGCCATACTGAGCAGCTTGCATGACCAGCATAAGGGCTCCCCTCGAAAGTTCAGCGCTCTGATGTGACGCTTCGAACTCGAGAAGGACTAGAGTCACGCGATCGGAGAGAAGTCGGTTCCGCGCGGAGCCGGCGCGTGGATTTTTCTTTTCCGGATAATACGATTCCCCATCAAGGGAAAAATCGAACGCCCTCAATCGTGAATTATGTGGCTCCGGCGGCGCCAGTTATCGAGTCTCGCCCGCGCTGTGCGTGTTCGATTCGCGCCGAGTCCAACGGGAGAAATGCACATCGGAGGACTCCGTACAGCCCTCTACAATTATCTGTTCGCCAAGAAGAACAATGGAGATTTCATTCTGAGGATTGAAGACACAGACCGAAGTCGATTGGTTGAAGGAGCACAGGAGAGAATTGTAGGTCAGTAATATGGAGAAATCTTGTTCGTTGGACGCAATGTGACGAGGAAGACCATGATCAAGTGCGTTTTATGCTTTTTAGACACCTTGCGTTGGGCTGGTCTCACACCGGATGAGGGACCCGGGTACCTAGGGGGAACCGAAGGTCCCTACCTGCAGTCGGAACGGCTGCATTTCTATCGGGAGTTCATCCAGAAGCTTGAAGACGTGGGTGAAACTTATAATTCCGAAACAGCATCGTCTATTTACTTCCGCTGGTATCAGAGTTCGTTCTTGATTGTAGAAAGGAGCGGCGTACAAGTGCTTCTGTACGGAACGACGGCTCGATCTGCTGCGGAAAGACGCAAATAAGCGAAAGGCATTGTTCAAGTACGACAACAAATGCAGAAACTTGACCTCCAAAGAGAAGGGAGAGCTGCTCGCCCAGGGAACCCCCCACGTTTACCGTTTCAAGGTGGTGGAATACATTATGATTTCGAATACGTATTATTTCTTCCCGATTGATCGCTCCTGTAATCGATCCCTCTATTGCAGCTGAGAGACGGCTCCGTGAGCTTCCACGACCTCATTCATGGAGAAAGCTCGATCGAGCTATCGAGAGTCGAGGCGGACTTTGTGATTTTGAAATCGGATGGTTATCCCACCTATCACTTCGCAAATGTCGTGGACGACTACCTGATGAACATCAGCCATGTTTTGAGAGGGGTCGAGTGGCATGTTTCAACGCCTAAGCATCTCCAAATGTGAGAACGCTTCCCGGGAAGCTTCGCCATCGTTTAGCTCTGAAGCGTCTATTGCAATCGGAGCCTGGAAAAAAATCGCTCAATTACAGTTTCGAAGCACTAGAGCTTCCGCCGCCAACTTACGCACATCTGCCATTGATGATGAACCAGGACGGGTCGAAGCTCTCCAAGCGGAATAAAGGCTTCATGTGCGATCAGCTCAGAGAAAAATATATTCCTGAAGCCGTTTTGAGTTTCCTGCTCCTCAGCGGTGGAGGTTTCGGGAAAACTACGGGCGACTTCCACAGACTCCAGGATTTGATCCAAAAAGTGAATTCGCCGTTTGTACTGCACACAACGTCTCAATATTGCCGTCTCGAACGTTCCACGATACATGACGATCCTTATTTATCCATATATTATGATATTATGATGAGCCTTTGCATTCCAGTTCAATATCGAGTCGATGAACACGAGCTCTTGTAAAATCGACTTTGCACGCCTGGAGGATATGAATTTCCAAGCGATCCGGATCATGGCCGACGAGTTGTACGATGCGGCGTTCCTACTCGTCAGAAAACATTATCCTCATGTGGAGGAAGATTACTTCCGAAGAGTCTTCAAAATCAATGCGGTGAGTAGTCAGGAGGCATTCGTACTCAATCTGTGCGAGAGAGCGTCTGACACTCATCGCGTCTATTCTAGGGGCGGCTGAAGTTCCTGGACGATATCATCTCCCCTCAATTGAACTTCCTGTGGACCAAGGATTCGAGCGTCACGGAACCCCTCGGGGACGATTGGAGTGAGTAGTGAAGAGACGCTGATCTATCCGATTGATATTACCCCGTTTTCTGCGCTGCCGTGGCTCACATGTCATCGAATTCTCTCTCAGAGACCACAATCCTGTCGCTCACCAAAGTCTTGGAAACGATCTCTTTCGGGAAAGCGGACCTCTCAACTTCCCTGAGAGAATTTCACTCAAGTCAAATAGGGGATCGACTGTCATACAGGGACTTCATGTGGAAACTCCGAGAAATACTGACCGGTCTGAAGGTGAATTATCGTTAACACCACGTGATCTTCGCCATCGAGCTAATTCAAGGGGGTCTCGACCCAGATGTTCTTCTCTCTTTCAGGAAGGTCCCAGCATCTCTGAAATCATGGAGTCTCTGGGTAGAGAAGAGACGATAGCGAGGCTCCTGGATCGATGCAGCTGATCGGCCGGGGATACGGTCCTGATCGTCCGGACTCGAATCAGAAATAAGCCGAGAGTCGAATTGTATAAAATCACTAACGAACATTAAATGTGCGCTACTTCAATCTATCGTTCAGCAGCTCACGATTTAGCGGTGGAAGTCTACCGCACAACTTCTCCGCCTCGGGGATAAATGAACGGCCGGGCCGGCCGTGGAAACTACCGTGAATATTCCAGTACAAGCCCCTCCCTAATGGTAGCCCCTCTCCAATAAAAGCCCCTCGGCGGGATTCTCGAGTCGAATAGGAGCCCGTCTCGGACAGGAGGCCCTTTAGGGGGATCGAATCAGATTCGCGAGAAGCTGTGGTCCTGATAATATCTCTAATTCCAGAAGTCACGAGAAATTTAGCTTTCTGACGCCTCTTCTTCTAATCACCTTCGTTGTACAACCGCACGTAGGATCCTGAGGAGCTCCCCTGTTATAGAAGCCCCTCTGCGAAGGGGTTTGAAATATTAATATTATAAAAACCCGGGCGTGTATTGGAATATTTACGGTGAGTGTAGGAAGCGTTTGGTTAGAGACCGGAGATCGCTCAAAATCCGGTATTTGGCACTGCTTGTGCGGGAAGCGGCTCGAGTGCCCCACAGAGTTCTCGCGAGAAGTTCCGTACGGTAGAAATCAACTCCATGCTGCAATATCTCCACATTCAGAAACGGATATGGTCGAGGTTTTATGTGCTACCTAGATCAGTATTCGGTAAGCAGAGCTCATCGGTGATGTCCGAAACAAGGGTTTCCGGGCTGGAAAACCTCACTATCGCCAAGCTCTGTCATTTCGATCGTCATGATATCTCTGAAACCAGGATCCGGACGCCGGCACGTGGGCTCGGCAGGAGGGGAGGGAGAGATGCCGAGGTTCTCCGTGGATCTCGATTTTGTATTCAAACCCACATTTAACACTCGGTGGGAAATGTTCCCCGAACTGAACCCGTTCGAGCGTCAGCCGTCGTGGCGCGGGGTTTGCAGGTGACAGGCTGCCATTGAGATGCTAAACCAGGCGACCAGCGATTTCTCACTTGGGTTAACATTTCCAAAGAGTTTTTCTCCGCGCTGGTTCCATTCGCTTCCAGCTCCGCAGGTTCTAGTTCTGCAGAGCCGACCATGACAGGCATCGATGCGGCATAATACCCTCCCATCGGAAAATTCTCGGAGCTGTCGCCGAGAGTCATGGAGCTCGATCGTCGATTTCCTGAGCGGTGTCTCGAATGGCCCATAGATGTGTCGGTTCGAGGTGCACATCGTCGCACAGAGCTGCGGGTCGAGTTCTATCGTTTGCACTTTGATCCCCCTGACGGCGCCGACTCTTTCCGCTATTGTCCTGTTCGTGTGCGTCGTCGGGCTTCGTAGGAAGCGATCTGGTACCACTCATCCTCGATGCGAGGAGATCTCCAAGCTGGGTCTCAGCCGCCAAGTTTCCGACACGACGCGACGCTCAGAGTTCGGGATCCTTCCCAAATCATCCTTAGGAGCCTAAGGTCTGAGGGGAGTGGATCGCGGTTTCCCAAAAATGTGATTCTCGAGGTGGAGCAAGCTCGGGAATCATGATTTTCATTCACTGGATTCATTTGTTTCCCTTTTCCGCTGACCGCCATTTCTGGGGTGTTCCGAAAATACATCGTTCTCCGATGATTCTGCATTCTCATGGGATTCTGCCGGGACCAAAGGAGCCATGGCGAGTGCCCTTAGGTCTATCGAAGTTCACCTTCCTCTCATGGCATTGGGGGGAAAACCGCTCGAGTAACTCCGAAGGTTCGTTCCAGAGAGGAGAATTCGATGCTGATTGTTTCTAGATCAGTCACCGTCCTTTCGCGCACCACCGCATTACACAGAGATGAGTCACGATGTGACGCGCCGTGTGTTCATGTTAGCAGTGTATGGGGTGGGTAAGCGCCGAGTATAGGAACTCTGGGTTAGCTGGAGCAGCATATTCATGTCGAACTCTCTGGGAAAATATTGCCGGGGAATCCTGCCGGCGAATTCTACCGCAGCACTGCTGCCGATCCCTGCTGCAGATGCTCGTCGGAGACTCCCGCCAAAGACTTTTGTCGGAGACTCCCCTCAGGGAGACAAGCTGGAGGGGCCTCGCTGACGGTTCGCATATCTTCCTTCATTTGGAGACATCGTCCCTAGGATTTGCGCGAACTTTCTCGGGGGCGAAGGCGAGTGATGAGAGAATCCTGAATGAATCAGCCCGGAGTCGACGACTTCTCTATCACTCGGAGATCGTCGGAGATCCACAATGTCCTTCATCAGACTGCCTCTGGCGGGAATGGAAGGAGTCGCATCGTGGGGCAGCCGGATGTTGGTTTCCAACTTCGTGCATTCCAGATGCCTCGGAGCGGTGTACGATGTTTCCTTCCTAGGCCCGATGGCTCCAATCCGACAGCGTAGAAGTGCTGCTCGCGAGCTCCATGCACTCAACTCTCCCTGAGAAAAAGCTGGAGACGTTGTTGGAAGCCATCGCCGAATGCTGTGCTCAGCTAACGCAGTACATACTCAAGCTTGCGGCAGCGCCGCAGAGTGACCAGTCGAGGAAGCAGGATGTACCCTCGAAAAGTGCCGGTGGTCAGGAGCTTTCCTCATCAGATCGGCATTGGCATGGGAAGAACTTCAGTCGGCCGAAGTCGCGTGTTGCATCAGAGCAGTTTTTTTCAAACTCGGGGGTCAAGTCTCCCCCGGGGGACGCCGGGGAATCTGGAGGGCACGCGGAAAATTTCCGACCGCCCGATCTGTAGGTTTCAGGGAGCTGGTTACCAAGTTCATCCCTACTGCTCCGTGAGTTGACGATCATTTCAGTTAAACGAGGGAGCCGTTGTCCATGGAGAAAACGACACTGTGCCATGCTCTGGTCCAAACTCTTCGTCCTCAGACACTCGATGATCTTCTGGGCAGACCCGAGAGCTCCCCACGAGGCTGCAGGGAGACGTGAGAGGAAGGGGTTAGAGAGACGCTGCATCAGAGAGTTCGAACACCCGTCCCGTCCAAGCTTCAAGCCTGCCCCCTCTGCTTTCCCTCCCGGACTGATTGGGCCGACCCTCTTGCATCTTGACGGCGAGAATTTCTCATCGTCGAAAAGTTTTTCATAGCGCGGCAATTAGCATCCAGGCCGCCAGCATGCGATCGGCTCTCCAAGAAATTGCAGTTCCTCAGAAGCAGGTCCTGAAGGCACTCGAGTCCTGTGGAGGGTCTGTCCCTGATTTGAGGCTCGTCGTTCATAGATCATAGATGAAACACGCCGCCACTCGCGGAGCATTGGCTCGATCAGCGTAATTCGGAATCCCATCCTCAAGAGCTGTGGAGGGTCAAAGCAATTTGGCAAGCTTGTCTCGATTATTCCCAGTGCCCGAATTGTTCCCACCCAGCATCGTTCCGTCTTCCTACATTGATAGAGTTTCATTGGTCCATCGATCCCCCCTTGCTTAGTGCCCGAGAGTCAGTCTGGATAGAATCCCCACTCGGCTCGCGATGCTACAGTCCTAGGAACGCATCGTGATCCGATTCTGGGGATCGCCAGAAGAAGAAAAATTCGAAACTTCAGCCATCGGAAGGCGTCGGAGGTGATTCTTTACAATCAATACTAGCTCATGACACTGATGCGATTATGATTCATCCCATGATCTTCACGTCATCCCCTCATGCGTTATAAGTTCAGCTGTCGAGCCCGGACGATTTGTCGTCCAAGTACTTGGCGCATGCTCAGGAACCACGCAGGCATCCGCCCCGCCAAGTTGCTGACTCACGAAATAAAGCCGATATTTTCCTTAAGCGAAGATGATCATCGATTCAGTAATTCGGTAAGCGAATAGGATTCAGTCGAACAGGATGAGAGTCTCGATGAGATACTCGTAATCGAGGAACCTAGCGATGAGGTACTGAGACGCGGTCTAAAGAACAATCGTCGACAAATAACCACATCTTTCGTATTGGCAAATCGAGCGACGTATGCAAACCATCGTTCGTTCACCCACCGTTCGTTCACCCACCGTTCGTTCATCCACCGTGCTCTATCAAAATTTTTCTCCTCGACCTGAGTATTACAGTCGTCGAAAAGATTAGTCGACGCTGTGTTCATGCTTTTGTTTATGCTCGATATATTATTGAGATACACGGTGTGTATCAAACTCATCAAGTGCCAGAATCAGATACCGGTCGGCCACATGTAGATCACGTAAGTTCAGGCGAAGAAAGTTGACACGAAGCGCCGCCGGCGTTGGGGTCGTATCGAGTTGACTGACAATAAGTCGATTCCGCGTTACCTCCTTTTCGGGCATCTACTTCGATGTAGCTTCCGAGTATCTCGTGAGAAGTTTGTAGAAGCTTTGGAGCTCGATATCTCTCGTAGCGAGCTTGCCGGTATCCTGATCCCGGCCTGCGTGTCTCACAGGCCGCCTCTCCCCCAATGACAACGACACCACCAGAGCGGCGGCTATGGCCTCGGTGCTGGAGGTGGCGGCGGCAGCAGCGGCGGCGGTGGCGGCAGCGGCGACGAGGACGAGAATCCGCCGAGTTGAAGTCTCTTTCCCTGTTGAAGCTGTTCGTTGAGAGTTACCCTGTATTGACTCCACCTCCTTTTCTCCACCCTCAGGCGGAGCCTGCGCACTCTGTTAGAGTAACTTCAGCCATCCAGCAAGCAAGTAAGCAAGCAAGTAAGTAAGCTGGATAGCCCGGGAGCCGACCAACCAGCCCACCAGCCGACCAACCGGCTGGCTAGCTAGCTACCTACCTTCGCACCCAACTGTCAACGAGTATAACTCGTGACGACTCGCAAGTCAGTGTGTCGTCCTCATCGGCAAGCATCGGAGTGCATGACATTCAGACGGCGCAGGCGGAAGCGCAAGCGAAATCGTCCCTTCTGATCACGCGATGGATGCCACCCAGGCACCGTTCACTAACGGTGAGTTTTCTTTCGAATAATTGCTGTTCTCACAAGTGAGGGAGCCGAGTTGAACGTCAGCGGAACTTTGACGCTTGCGATGCTTGAGGTGAGCCCGAACAACGCGAAGAGATCGATACTCCGCCCGAGAATGAATTTCGGGGTGGATCCGATCTTCTCCAAGACGGGAATTTTCTCGTCCATGTTCCTGAATGCGGAAGTTCTGCGGCGACGTAGTTCCTGTGAGGCCCGATCGCATCGATTGAATCCTTGCTTGAAGAGCACACACTCCTCTCCTTCCGGAGGAACAGTGTCCACAGTGTGGTGTTACTTCCTCACGTGAGACCGTCGTGGGCCGCATCAACAGGTTGAGCGGAGTTTAGGTATGTGTCGAATGTGGAATTCGCTAAGCAATGGTCGATTCTAGGCAATGTGAGCCCGGTGTACGGAGCGGCGGGCGAAGAAGGTCCACCGGGTGGTGGGAATTTAGGAGGCGTTGGAGAAAGATATCAGAGGACCCCGAAATGCGCCCGTTGTCGCAACCACGGCGTGGTGTCGGCTTTGAAGGGGCACAAGCGCTACTGCCGTTGGAGAGATTGCGCATGTGCTAAGTGTACACTCATCGCCGAGAGACAGCGGGTTATGGCGGCTCAGGTGGCCCTTAGGTCTGTAAACCGAAGTCCGATGTGAATTCCGGGAATAATTAGAAGACGAGAATATTTTCTCGAAAATTTCGCGTCTTATCCGCAGGAGACAACAAGCGCAGGAGGAGAACGAGGCTCGCGAGCTGAGCGTACTCTACGGATGTCACGAGGGAATCATGGCGATGCATCGTGCAGGACTCACCTTCTCGGCAGCAATGTCGCATCTCCTGGGCAAAAAGAAAGACGGCTCAGGGGACGACGCCAGCTCTTCGGGAGCAGCGGCCACCGAGACGGAAAAGGAACAATCTCTTCCTACAGGTCAGTGCAATTTCGCGAATCAGCTCGAGGACTTATTTTCAGTGCAGCTTCAGTGCAACCGAATTTACTGACCAATGCGGAGTGAGTGCGACATCGCAGGCCTTCTGATGGATCAAACGTGCTTGACTCGAAGATTCGTCGAATGGCTCTCGAAGCCCTTCCCTAGACCCCATGCTCGCTACACGAATTCGATAGCGCCGAGATTTTTGTCACACGCTCCTCCATGAAATTTTCACGTGAAACGAACTCTGGGAGCTGCTTGAGGAAGATTCCGAGTAGTCCTCCATCGAGCGTAGTGATGGACGAGGAATCACAGCGAGGGAAGCGCGGTCCTCTCTCGGCCAACGCGGAAAAAATCTCGCGTCGTCGTCTTCCGACTGAAACACGATGTATATGCCTCCGCTGAATGCGCGCGATTGATGATCTGGAAGAAGTATTCGACGATGAAGAAAACGCCGACGATGGAGAGCGCACATCGGATGTGAGTGGATTACAATGACCAAGGGTGCCCGAATCATTCGCGCAGAAGAGGGCGTCGAACAAGATTAAGCTGCGATCTGTGTTGACTCGAACAATGAAACGGATGACACCCCATCTCAGACTCATCCGCAGACGATCTGTCCGTCTATCTGCCGCTCGGCCGGCCGGCCGGTCCTTCGGTCGCTCTATCTAAAGTCTCTGGACCGGAGTCTGGCAGGTCGTCTGAATTTTGCGACAGATGGAGTGGATGAACGCGACGGGGTCTTCTGTCGCGCGAGCTGGCCTGAACCGAAGAGCTTCGTGTTGAGTGAAAAATTCCGAAGATCTCAATTGAACAGAGTCATCGTTACGATCCAGTCATTCGATATTACATGATTGGAAGTGCGATGCCGTTCGACCATCCGTCAGAGTTCGTCATCGAAGTTCCGACCATCGGATCGAGAGCAGGCAGAGCATCGGCATCGTCGACCGAAGCAACGTTCGAATTTTCTTCATTTCCTGCTTGTTGTTCGGGTCTCGGAACACTTGACCAACGATTCGGGGCGCCCGGTCTCATTTGTTCTCCAAACTCGAAGCAAACCATCCACTCGAATAGGGTACGAAGAGACGAGACGTTTTTGGCTTGTTCCCATCGAGCGGGATACGAATGTGAAGGCGACACACTTGTAACTCGGCCTTGTAGCGACGGCAGAAGCTCCTCCGAGTACGAACGAACGAACGAGAGAGGAAGAGAAGAAGATAGTGAAGACGATTGAAAGAAAAAAGCTCTTTTTGTCACTCACAATGCGGTCGACAACTCGATGCCGCATCTTGAGTTTGAGATCCGACATGAGGCCATCGCCGTTTGACAAAGACGTCCGCCGACCAGTCCGACCCAGCGCACGAAGCTACAGTGAGGGAGATTCCATTTCAGAATGGCTACAGTTCATTCTCTGAGCGGTCGTCGCCGCTCGCAATCGCTGTATTTCGGGGCGATCAAGCGGGCAGACGGTCTTTGGTGAGCGCTCCTCATGACATAACTCGGTCGCTCGGCAGAATCGTCGCATCGCCCAGAGAAAATGGTCCGAATCGGGACGGGCTGTGGAGGATTCTTATCGCGGTCGGTGCGCTGGAGGCAAACGAGCGCGAATGCTTCACGCCGAAGATTATCGACCGCTCACGAGCCTGCGTGTCGAGGGAGCAATCGTCGCTCACTACGACACTTTTTTCGTCCTTTTTATACCGAGTTCGTTATTAAACTGTGACGGCCGGGCGTTCGAGCTACGTGCTCGAAAGTATTTTCCCACAGACAGATATGTGTTTAGCCAGGAGAATGTGGTCAGGATAGCGCGTGTGACTCCAATATGTTATAGAGCGGGTAGGTAGGAAGGAAGGAAGCCAGGCGCCAGCCGAGCAGCGGTGATCTGTTTACATTAAACACATCTGATCTTCGAGGAGGGAGTTTGCAGGGAGGCTGTAATTGATTCTCTTGGAGAACGCGTTTAACCGAGCGCACCGATAGCTTTATTGGGTGGGGTGGGTGCTAAGAGAGTTTGCACAAAAGGCAATACACTAAGCCACCTCAAACCCCTCATCGACGACTTAGTTCCCAAAGTGAATCATGAACCTTGCCTTCCCGAGTTTCTCTCGCAAACGTCCCGCGAGTTGAGCGATAGCGCATTGTATTCGCTCCTGTTGCATACCTTTTTCGACTCGGGCATCGATCACACGGCTCGAGTCGGGAATCAGAGAGTCGGCCGCGAAATTATTCTCGACGATTCGATGTCATGCTCCGGAGTTTCTTTTAGAATCTGGAATTCGGGAAAAGCGAATTTCGAAAGAGACGCTCCCATCGGTCAGGGCGTTTCTCCAATCATTATCTACATGCATTCGGAGTATGAGACGCACGAAACTTCAACTTTCTGAAATCCTACTCCCGATAACGAACTGAACTAACAATAAGAAAAAGGCCTTAGCGGGGAACATGGCGCGCTTAGTCTGACGACGGTGTCTGGCGCACACTTCGGGGCGTGATATGTTGGAGCAATAGTCGCGGGCCTGCTTGCGACCTCTCAGAGCGACACGAGCTTTGGCTCTGCGATCTGTAGAGAAATGAGACACGAGGTCGGATTGAACGAGCACTGAGCTCATTCGAGCTCGGAGCTAGGATATCATCCTGGCCATCTCCTTCATTTGCCCAATGCTGTGTGGTCGCAGTCGGAGTTTGAATAACGAAACTTCCAAGGTCATGGTCGTCGCGATTCCAGTCTGATTGACTTTGTACTTGGCCTCTCCAGAAGTGGATCCCGAGAGGAGAAGCTATCGAGCGCGTAAGTTCCATGGGCTCGCAAAGGGTTTCATCATTTTTGTTTGCAGCTAAGCGGTTTTCAATTTCAAAACGGGTGTCAGTCATGCTTTGAGCTGACAGACGATTGTTCCGATGAGTCGGTCCGATGCTCGACGAGGAGCGCGCGCTCTTTCTCATGGAGTCCCGTTTCAAGTTGGTCATGATAGGGGTAAACATCAAAAATTGGAGTTCAACGAGCACAGACCTGGGTTTCTAAGTCGAGGAAACACTCGAGAACTCCGAGTACTTTGACTTTGGGGCGAGCCTTCTACAGCTGTGCGGTGAGGGCCCTCCGTCCCCAGCTTGCGATTGGGAATCGCCGGCCAAGCATCGAGCGAGTGAAATGCCAACACCATCGAAAATTATTTATTTATCTATTCTATAAGTGACGCCCTGATGAGTCGCTCGATTCGAATGCGAGACTCGCCAACTTCGCTCTCTACAAGGGAAGGGCAGCGCATAGATTGATGTTGTGAAAAGAGATTTCTGAGAAGCACAAGCCTCTTCAAAAGTCTCGGAAATGATCGATCATTCTTGATTCGTGTTCGCGTTCAAATTCCTGTATGTTCCGCGACATTCTAACGCGGGGAATAACGCTCGAAGACCCCCGGAAGCGAAGGCGGAAGGTGAACAGTAGAACGCGTACTCGAAGCATGGCTTGTGATTTCCTGTGACTTGGGAACAGAAGCCTTGTGTGTGATTGGCGCCCTTGAGGACGAGGGTCCGCTCTGTTTTGTTGTCGCTGATGTCGTGGTCGCTCATGTACTTCTTCGACGAACAAGACCTGAACAAAAGACTAATCCTCGCCTTGGAATACAAATCAGACATGCTGTTCAGGACGTGAGGACAGTTAGTATTCCATTATGCGACCGAGTATTTGCCCTTTGCGGTGACACCTCTTTCTCTCGCTGCCTTGTTTGTCTGTCAGCTGATGTACCTCGGTGTTTGTCCGGTGCTCATGGAGTCTCATTCAAAAAAAGACTGAAGGACCGAAAGTATATCGTCGGCTCGACCTATCCGACGGGTACCTACTCCCTGATGATGGGCACAGGACCAGCGTCGATCGAAAGGCTTCGAATATCATTCGAATATACACCGCGGATCACACCGATTCGCCCCCCCTCTTGGGGCGCTGACGCAGAGCGGCGCTCCTCCGACGTCGGCGGTATAGAATCTCTTCCCGTCTCGAGCGGTTCCGAAAGAAGACGCTGCGCTTTTCCAACAGAAAAATATTGAAATTTCTCACTTGTGCTAGCCCTGATCCGCATACCTCCGCTGACACTACTATCCGACAGGAATGATATCCCCTCGTCACAGGAATGTTCCATAAGAACTTTCGCGAGCCCTATATCCTTTGATATCTTCTAATATATATATACCCCGAGAGGCCTCTCCCGCCATTTCTCGCGGTATATCCCCCGAGATCGCTCCCTGATCTTCTCGCCGAGCGACCGCGCCTGCCAGCTCTCGTATTATGACTTGCATATAGCCTTCGCCACCTACGACCTCCACATTTATCACAATGGCACTCGGAAGACGCAGTTCTACGCCCATGAGATTATTGCGTATCGTGCACCGAAAAACCCCAATACTGCCTGACGTCATGCACTAATCCGCCCGCGAGACGGGATCGCCTTCCCTTAATCCCATCGACGCTCTCAGAGAAGATGTGATGTGATGCAAGCTTCACATTCGACCTGGACTCGAAGTTTGGGAGCATTTTCAGTTCTCGGGGAAACAGGACCGGCCCGGAGAACAAGTAACTCGAAATGATACACGATTCCTCGCTCGCAGCAGACACGGCGGAGGAGAAGATTTATCTGTTTGGAGTACTTGAATTTCAATTTGAGGACCGAGTGTCCTCCACCTGCCGTAGTTCCCGGTGGAGAATAGTGTGTCTTCAGGCACAGACACATCTCAAGTTGTCCTCCAACTCAATCGAAAAGAAACTCCAGTTTCGAAAATTCTGTAGCCTGTAGTGGTTTGCCGCGGCGGCTGCCTGCCAGCCAGCCAGTCGGTCGGACGGGTAGCCACGTGCGAAAACTACGTGCGGGACTATTGGAATGCCAGCCCACTCCCCTCAAGGGTGCTCGGGTGTGTCTGGCTGACTGACTGGCGGCCAGCCAGCCAGCCGCGCAAGCTAGCTAGCTGTCTCAAGCAGACGTCTATGAAAGAGGGGCGCGCACAAGCGAGTGCGTCCGCGCTGCCGCACAAGCTACCCGGGAGAAACGTTTAAACTCGAATCGAAAAAAATCGTTGCGATCGGCTCCGAGTAGCAGTCGATGGGGGAACACGGGAATCGCTTCCCGAGACGCTCGTGCGAGAGACTCGTCAGTCAGACCTGAGCAGCTGATCGTCATCAATATTCGGACCTGTATCGCGATTTTGTTCACCCAGTATAGCTGACGAAATGTCGCTCCGACTGGCTGCAGAGGAAACGACACTGAATATCAATTCACGCGTCGTCGCGAGACAATATCAGCCGAAGGCGGAAACAATCGAAAAGTTTTCCATCGTGTGGCGGATAGAGTTGAGACGGTTAGTCCAGATTTGTCAGCGGTGCGCTCCGAGTTGCTGTGGGCTGTATCTGGCGGCCGTGTTCTCTCTTGTGATACCAATCTGCATAGAAATAACAAAAATGGCTTCCCCTCCTGAATCTTCTTATCCTAGAGATTCTCTCGCGCGCTTCGCTCCTGGCTGCCGATGACATCTTGGGGATCTGCTACGCTTGTCTACATTGCTGGCTTTTTCTTCTATTAGCTCCAGACGCCAGCCAGCTAGCTAGCTGGCCGCTTGCTCGGTCAGCTAGCAAATCCAAATCAGCAAGGGAACGACCGACCGAAAGAAGAACATTGGGCGGACACAAACGTAGAACATTCTCCCTGCGTTGTCGCATCCAACGCTCTGTGACATTCGCGAACGGCAGTGCCCGAGCGATCGCGGACCAACCGACGGCGCAGAGCCAATGGGAAAATGCTCGTTGGACTCGGTGACAGGTCGACACTGTCGCGGCGGAGTTCCGATTAGTTCGGCAAGGTGTGAGAAAGGATACCCCACTGCGAGTCGGTGGATTACATTCAGCGGGATGATCCAATTACGCCCGAGGCCAATAACTCGATGAATACAACTGAAATTCGTCGCTCCCTTGTCTCTCGAGTTGATTTCGAACGAGAGGCAGCGCGCGATATTCTCAGCCGTGACTACATGATGATTATCCCGCTGGTGTGAACTGTGCGGAGCGATCTCATTACCTCGTTAGATGAATCCTCCGCCGCGAGCTGTATGAGTGTCGAGCTTCGCTAGGAAGCCACAACAGCGGCGGCGACTTCATTTCGGAGCCGCTACGGCTGTAGAATGCGACCACTCAGTGCAGGTGGCTGGCTTTGAAGTCGTGATCGGGACTCTGTTCAACTCGAAATCTCAAGTTGTCCCGCTGAGCTCGCTTGTTGCAAGAGCGGCAACAACGTTATTGCACGATCGACAATAACATTGAGATACAGAGATTTACATTGCAATCCATCTTGGCTCCAACCGATAGTTTGTCGGTCTCGCAGTCGTGTGATCACCACCAACAATAACAGGCACAACAACGGCCTCGATGACGACCGCATCATCAACAATCACAACAATATTCATGATGATGACAATAACTTTGGCGGCGGTTCGAGGGGCGGCGTCATCTACATAGACAGGGAGATCGATGAACTTCGTGGGAATCTTCGACAATTGTGGCCACGTGAACAAGGAGCCGCTAAATTATGACAAATCCAGGCACGCAGATCTGGAGCGCTCGCACCTGCTCATGATAGCCGCGGTCGTCGTTCGCTCAGGTCGCATGCACGGGATATTTCCAGGAGTTGCCGGTGCGGCGGGAAGTTCACCACAGGATCTTTTCGCTTCCCGCGCACCCCGAGCTGTTGTCCTTTGTTGCGGTGACGCCGGATACGGAAAACAGCTTCACGTCCGATCGATGAAAATTTAGTTCTTGAAGAGCATAGCCTCCTTCTAAGGATCTTTTTCGCTCCACAGTGCCCGAATGGAAGAAACTTTTGACCGACGGCTCAGCAGGCTCAAATGCGAACAATTTCGAAAACTCTGCTGAAGCCCGCCAAAGTTCTAGTCCTGTGAGCAATCGCGTAGACATCGAAGAACATCCGTCAAACCTCAGTCACTCAGTTGCGAATATCGACGAAAAGCCTCTTGCCTTGGATGTCGCCAGTGGAAATAGATCACCTTCTCGCTGGAGAGAAACAAGCGAAACCAAAGATTCTCTCGACATTATCCCTTCAAAACAAGCAACGAAGATCTCAGCTGTCACCCATGATACCCTTCTCAGGTAAGTGTCGCTCCCGAAGACCCCTATTTTCAATCCTCGACGTTCGCCGTCGTCATAGGACGCGAATGGTGCTTGGAGGTCAATATAGGGAAGAGTGCATCTCTTCCGCGACCGTTTTTGATGAGCGAGATCGGGCGTCCTGATCGCGTCATTACATGAGATGGGGGAACATGAGAAAACCGTCGCGTTACGTGTTTTCAGGAGATCGCCTTCACCGAACAAATCGCCGATCGCCGCGTTCGGTAACTACAATAAAGCAGACAACAGCAAACGACGTCCTCTGGACACATTATCGAAATTGTTCCCTCACAAAGAATCCCCGATCCTGGCGGCAACCCTGGCCCGTTTCGGGGGAGACGTATGTGCAGCCATAGAGGAGCTCATGACTGGGTCTCCGGCACCTTCCTCCCCTAGTCCGGTCGCGAGATCCTCCTCGTCGCCGGCTTCTTCAGATGATAAAGAACGAGAACCCAAGACGGAACGGCTCGGACCGGTATTCCCTCAGACGACGACAACGACGAGCTCGCCTTCGGCTGTCAGTCAAGCAGCAGCAGCGGCCTATTTCGCCGACCAGTTTCGTCAGCATCGACCTTACGGAGGTCTCTTGCCGGCTTTACCTCGATCCCTTCTTAATTTACCGGCGTATCCCGGCCTGTTCCCACCCGCCGCACCTCTTTTTGGTCTTGGAGGAAATCTGCTCAACCTCCGGACTTGCACGGAGGTCGAAGCCGAGCCCCTGACGAAAAAACGTAGATTTCAGGATACGCCGCCCGCCGACTGGATGCACAGTCCCGACTCGGTAGGCTCCCCGCTCGACATGAAGGACACCGATTGATCTCGTCAATTTAGAACCGAATAGTGTAGCTTAAGGCCTGTTGAGGTTGATTCTATATAGTGGTCAAAATAATACTAGGCAGCCAAAGACACGAACCCATGCAAGTCGACATAGGAAATTTCCGCGTCCCGCCGTCGGTCGCTCTGGTTCCAGAGCGACGAAAGTCTTAGTCTCTCGAAAATACCAAACGAACCCGAGACGTTCTGAACATTCGGTGCACTTAAGTTCTCGACACCAGACCCGGTGTCTGTTGTGATTTATTGATTATTAATTATTATTATCAACAGTATGATCACTATTGACATATTATTATGATTAATATTATTACTGTAATAACGAGAGCGACAGTCTTGGTATTGACCATAATAATAATGACTTGACGAAATAAATGTCTCACTTGAAACTAATGCCGGAGTGGTCCTGTCTCGGATTAAGTGGAATTGAAGCCTCAGACGCGTCTCCATTGCGAACGCTGGCGCCGTCGAATCAAAACCGGGCCGGGCGCTGATCTCAGAGAGGCCTGTCTTTATGTTAACAACTAGGATCTGATGTAATGTAGAGTTTGAGCTTTGAAACGGCACTCTGTCAGGAACAGAGAGTCCTCAGTCGGACATTTCAGGAAAATGTCGAATTTGCATTCCCAAACCATTCAAACCACTCGCTTCAGCCAAGGCTGACAAATGCTCGTCGAATCCTAGCGCGCCTACAGCGGGCGAAGTCTGTCGGCGATGACCGTTTTTCTTCAGAAAGCTTCTTTCTCCCCGGGCGAGAACGACGTACTATGTGTTGTACCTGCACGACTGGCGCTCCTGACTGAGCATCAGAGAAGTAAAAAAAAAATCGATCGAAGACGAGAGGGTCGGAATTCACAAGCGCGAGGAACGTCTCTGAGGATGTATTCGGAAGGAGGCGAGGAGAGGGGGGGACCAATTGCTACAGCCAGAAGCGAATCGCATCCTTCTACGGCTAATCGAGAAGAGCGTTTCGCTTCAGTTCGAGTGATGCCATGAGCTGCGGCAAAGAGGTTGCAATCACAGCGGAGCTGCCGAAATGGAATGGTGGAACATCTCAAATTTCTAATTGGGCACGCGCGGGCAGTCATACTGTTCGAAGTTGAACATTTTGCATCGCTGCACGTCTCTGCGGATCTATCGTCGTACATCTGTCTGCTGGGCAAGCTCTTTCCGCGGCTAACGGTTCGTCCTTCATGCTGTGCTAGTGGAAGCGCGAAATATCATGTAGGTCTTGCCGTTCCCGCATCATCTGAGTGAGTTTCGAGCGCATCTGCTCGGCCAAGTCGATGAGCAGGCTGAGCAGCAAACTGAAAAACTTGCTGACTGACTGACTGAGTCGGGAGAGGATTCGGAGAGCGGAGAAGGACGACGAGCCATTTTGAAACCGATCCCGAGGACGACACAAATGAGGTCACTCGTCGTCTTCAGCCAAAGGCCTCACAGACACCTCTCAGGTGCACACAGGTTCAGCAACGATCTCTGAATCGTCGAATATTTTTGCATTACTCGAACGACGACATCGGGTTTAATGATGGGAGAAGGTTATTGGGCTCTCGACTCAGTCGAGATTGTACAATTGAAGAGCGCGAGCGGAACCTCATTTCGACTTAGTGACGCCTCGAATATTAACTTCATCCCGTCGAACACGGCGAGCGAGAAGCCGAGAAGAACCAAGTAATAATAGTCTCTTTTCAACGAAGTCTGCCGCGACGACCGACGTCGGCGGCGCAGCGGCAACGAAGGAAGGGTTGAAATCTTTTGTATTCGGAGCGCGCGTGTGTGTTCTCTTCTACGATCTCCTCCTCCAGAAGGACGGATAGGAGGTGGTCCAATCCATCGCTCCATCCATCTATCCACCGAGTCTGTTAGTCTGTCCATCCTTTCATCCGGCCGCCACCGTCTATCTCCGACAGCCACCCATTGGATATCCTTCCTTCCGTCCTGGTGACGGATTCCATCCAGCACGGCCGAAGTTTCGGGAATTCTATTTAAATGGAGCGGCCAACTCGGCGAAAAGTCGAACGCTTCTCCCGTTGTCTTTGTTCGATCGGCTCCTCGCGGAACAGCCCGGCCGGCCTCGCCGCCGGATACTTCGGCGTTCCTCGTGGGCGCTCGGCGCGTCCGTTGAGTATCCGGATTTTCCGATTCCGAGGAGTATTCTCTCAAGATGAGAAGTATTCTCTCCCGCCGCCGCTGCTTCTCCCTTTCTCCATCAGAGTCTTCGGAGTCCCGATAAATGCTTCGCGCCGTTGCGAGCGAGGAATACGATTGCCGCGATTCATCCCGTCAGATTTCGGAAGACTCGGGCTTTTGCTTTTTCGGAAGACTCGGGAGAAAAATCGCGCAAATCGTCCTCCTCAGAAACTATATATCCAACTATATCATCCCAACAAATCAAGAGGCCACGAAACAAAAAGAAGCATGTGGTCCAGGAAATTGAAATACGGAACCGCGCGGGCATTGCACAATCCAATCGAGCTGCAGATAAGCGATTTGAGATGAGGTGACATTCTCCGGGCGCCCTCACTCTCGGTGTCTTCGGCGTTCTTCGGAGTAGGCGGCCGACGCAAACTCAAGCATTTTTCGGTCCCGAGCTCTCGTTCCTGGAGGCGAACCAAGGCGCTCCGGAAAAAAATCCATGGAACATCGCGGCTGCGGCAACGTATTCTTGCATCGGGGGGAATTATATTCTATCGCCGAGCTCCGGAGGTGCAACGATGTTTTTCGAACCTCAGAAGGGGCGCTTACGAGGAAGAGATAGCTATCTATCTCTTCATCTATCCGGCTCTCCATTTGTCGTGGTGGTGCTCGCGCCGCTCCTCAACTGTCCTGTGGATGATCCAGCGAGCATTGGCAGCACCAGAAGAGACACTCAGTAGTACTTGCCGAGTCTACTCAAATCGTACATCTGTTAATGTGACGCAGTCGGAGACAGGAGGATGTCTCTCCACCGGCTCTGGTCGCGGCCGCTCGTCCCGCGGAGCGATTTGTTCATATATCGTCGACATGAGTCCTCGACATCCTCTCGATTGATATCGTAATAATGATAATAATGGTTGCGCACCAAAAACCCGGAATCCCCCCTCAATTCTATGATATTAGCGAAATAATTATCATTAATTACAATCATTATGAAAATTATCATCTTTACAAAATTCATTATCATGATAATCCGTATACTAGGGGCGCGTGTTCCCTGCAAGACGAGATACGAAAGTCTCGGAATCTCTCCGGAGAGAATCAGCTGCTCTCATTTCGATCGTATTCCTGCGGACGATGACGATAACCCCCAAGCGAGATGGAGAAATCGTCGCTTACTCTCCTCGAGGATATCGACGACATGCCTGGTAATTCGCCCTAAGCAGGAGGAGCTCGCAATCCGCTGCTCTCACGGGATGCGGAAAGCGGATGGAGAGAGTTGGAAGAAGTTTCGGAGTATGCAGGAGACTGAACGAGTACATAATGCGGCCGCTGGCCCTCGCCAGTATTGTATGGTGTCGTCTCGTGCTTATGTTCCTCGGGTGGCAGCGGCCAAGGCGTCTTTTGCCTCATTGGACGACCGACTGGGTCGGTCGGACGCTCGTTCTTTCGCAGCCAGCCGTCGGGCCTGCCGTCGGTCGGTCGCTCGGTCGACTGGAGAACTGGATAGCGAGTTGGAAGCTGACTGTGCTCGCATTCTTCGCTCGGGCCGTTCAGGTGATGATGGAAGATGACACTTATTAAAGCGAGCGGCGTGCGAGAGGAAGGGCGCAGAAGCGTGCGCAAGCTCGCCATCCAACGCCGACTTACTTGCCTGCTCGCTCGTTCGTTCCATCGTACCCAACCCTCTGGAAGCCCGCACTGCGGACCACGAAACAATGGAGAGTTAATTTTTGTCTCTGGCTGCTGCTGTTCCTGCGTATTACTCGACTGGAGCAGGCGGCGGCCGCCGGCGGCAGCGGAGACGGGTCGGAGAACGACGACGGCGAGTGAGAGGATTATTACTGCGCATAGAATTTTCTCAGGTCCGTCCCATATGCGAGCGAGCGAGCAAGCACGTACTCGGTCACCGGATATTCGTCCGTTCGTTCGTTCGTCATTATTGTAGGTTCGATTCATTTGTCATCTTAATGAACGATTCGAACATTGTCTTGGGCCGGATAGTTTCGCAGCCCTTCGGGATATTGTCTCTTTGCCCTCCCGACGGCAAGGTCTTCACCAATGAACGTTTGTCAACGTCTCTCCGCTTGTCGGAGCATGAGTTCTCCTCCGCGTATTTCCCATTAGGAGCCGGGAGTTAGTTTGAGGGCCTACCCCAAAAGAGAATAGAGGTCAGGTCGCCGATGGAGTGTCTTCCTCGGCAGATTCCATGTCTGGAGTTTGCCCACAGAATTCCTCCACTAATAGCGCCTGAGAATTATTACTCCATCCCCCTGAGTAAGTCGGCTCACGTCGAGGATCGATGGCGATTGCGTAGTCGAGTTTCCTCTGTGTCGGTTGTTTTTCCATCCGAATCCGCCGGTTCATCGGGGAAATTCCCTGACTCGTCAAGAAGCTCCTAACGACTGTTACCACCCGAGTTATGCAACCGCCTTGAAAGAGAAACTTCAAAAAATTCATTTTATTCAATCGTCTTCTCGAGCTGGTCGGTCTCATTCTTCCGCTCTTACTTCGGATCAGGTTCGAAGTTCGTTATAAAATTGAAATTGTGTTGAACAAACTCGTTTCGTAACCGACATGGGATGCAGTTCGAACAATGTTTTTTTCAAAATGCGAGTTTGCGCGACTGTTCGCTGACTCCGTTTGATTATGCGCTCGGTGACAGAGCCCGTTCCTCGGCTTATGTAGAATGCATTTACCTCTGGGGTCAGCGGATTCCATCTTTCTATTTCTGTGGGGAATGATTTAAACCCCCGAGACGACTCCTTTGAATTTGGGTGCCACCTACTCGGCACCTGAGGCTCTACAAGGTCGGCCACAGAAGGACGCGAGCTTACGATGACCGAC